TTTTAGCCATTATTGGTCAAATGCCTCTTGGCTATTATCCCCGGTATCATATTTTGAAGGTTATTGTCAGTTCCATTACTTCCATATATCTGGTAAACTTAGAAATATTTGGTGAGATACCATGGTGCTTTGGAATTCCTGACACAAAATTACTACTGATAAAATCATTTTATTACCTTGGGCCACTTCTAGTGTGGATAATATTGCTACTATTGGTGGGAATGGGTCGATGCTGCCCTCACCTTGATAAAATACAAGACTCACCAATGCAAGCCATCTGCCTATTGATGATGTTGTCTTTCTGGTCTATGACTGATAGTAGTATTCACATGCTTGAACCATTAATCATTGGAGATTCCTGGTACACTGCTGAGGATCCTTATGCCAAGTACTTTGGAAGGGATCATATTATAGTTGGTTTGGCTGCTATTGCTATCATTAGTCTTGCTATTCTACCTTTTATCAGTGTTTTAGCCATGTCTAATTTTGAACTATCTAGTCGTATTTTTCGTTTGCATCGTTTTAAGCCGATATTTGATGAATTTCAGTCTTGCTATGTAGATAAACATCGTTGGTATTGTGTTGTATATTACATCTCGTTCATTCTCTATCTTATATTAGTCTTTGCTGGGAATCCTTTAGGCCCACAATTGCTACTAGTTCTATTGCTGTCTCTTCACTTTGTTGTACAACCATACAAAAAGCATATCCTCAACGTCATTGACATGCTTCTCCTCCTTGATCTTTTAGTACTGTACTCGCTTCTTGAGAGAGAGGAAGAGTTGGAGAATAGGAAGACAATCTATACTAGCGTACTGGTGCACATGATGACATTAATTCCACTGCTATACATGGTGGTAGGGTCCATTGGTATATTCTGTTTACAATGTAAGCATAGGCTTAAGATTAAAAGTAGCAGGTTCGGTATACAATGGAGGACAAGTCAGTCTCAGCCTTCAAAATCAATTAGGAGGACAGAATTAATAATGGATGATGATAAAGGTGAACGTGAGCCACTCATTGGTATTATTCAAGATGATGAGGAGGATTGAAATGTGAACCAATTTAACTAATGAATTAATTTGTTTACTATCCTATTATTTTGTTGACTTTATGTATGTATCTAATATTTTCTGGTTGATTTCTAGTTATTTTTCGTTGATTATTAAGAGATGTTGATTCATTGGCACTTAGAAAAGAAGATCAATACTGCTGAATGAATCTGTTGTTAATTTATAGCTGGTAATCAAAATAATTTATTAACATGAAACCACAAAAATAAGAAATTAAATAACCATCGACTGTAATTATTTTAAATTTAATATTGTCCGACTAAATGTTATTTCCCATATCTCTGTTGACTTTGTGCATATTGATACAGGACAGAATGAAATTCAAAGTAGCTGCATTTATAATGAGAAGATAACCACCTGTAAAATAAATAAAAAGCATTTTTATTAACAATGACAACTGATTGCAAATGAATACAGTGTATTTCAAACTTGCTTACATTATTTCTGTTAGTGGAGATGTCCATGGAGGATATCCCAGTAATGACTTGGTACTGCCACATACAATTGCTAAATCAGGATCTGGTAGGAAATTCGATACTATTTTTAAAATAATAAAAATACTATTATCATCATTGTCATTATTAATGTGCAAATCATTCATTATTTTCTCTTAACTCTTACTGGATATTTTGCTGCTGATGATAGAAATATCTACATGTGGTTTTATCGATGAAACCTGTGCCTCTTCACAAAGTGACTTGGCAACATTTACAATAGAGTTATGTCCATCATCACTTGATAGGACCAGAAGCCATAAACCTATACATAAAATCAAATACAAACATTAACATAATCCAATGCCAATTATGTTATGATTAATTGGACAATGATACCAAATATACTTAAAAACAGAAAGTTAAAAACAATGATACTGAATACATTCCAAAACAGAAAGTTGAAATATTTATCAATATTATTAAGGTATTCAGTAAGGATAACAGTTCATCACAATAATTAAAACTGAATGGTAGTCCTCTGTGCATGTGCATGTATCAGTAAGTTTATTGTAACACAAATTACTTAACAAGTATCTCATTGACATGGAACTGAAATGTATTCCAGCCAAGTTAGGTAAATGACCTTGAATCATTGTTGCACTGATAAATAATAACACAAACACCCACTCAATTTCATCTATGTGTGTATGCAATAAAATATCCACCTACAGTACAGGCATTATGTACAGTACCTGTGTTAGTTCCTGGTGTGGTGGTTTTACCAATGTCATCAGTGGTTACTACATTGATCAGTGTTGAAAGTGAGTTAACTAATGATTGGTATTGATCATTCACCAACCGCCGGAGCTTTACTACATCACTTTTTAGCTTTCCTATAAACAACTTGTAATATAATTGACTGAAAACATAATAATGATAATAATAATAATAATAAAGATGATGCAATGACAAAAAATATGATTAGTGTCTTCTTTCTCCCTCCTCATACAATAACAAGGTTAATGACCCATCCCTTACCTCTCTGATCGTATATGGATACATATTGTACTCCGGAGAGGAAGGCCCAAGCTATCAATCGAACCAAATACTCGTGATAAATATCCTCCTCTGCCATTACAAATGCCAGATGATACGGTATCTTTTCCAACAGTTTAGCATCTTTCTGAATAAGAGGAGCCTTTGTCCCTTTATGCTTTAGGATACCAAAGAAGGCCGAGACTGTCCATCCCCAGAAGAGGGCGAGGGCTGACCTTAGGCGGGACAGAAAGTGAACAGAGTAGAGAGCAGCAGAAGAAAGAACTGGTCGATAACTGAGCATCTTTCTCAATCCTCACCGAGGGAATACATATATATATATATATAGAAGATATTAAAGGATAAGTCCTGGGCCTGAGCTACAACCTCAGCTAATGATGAATCCTCGTGCCCTCAAGTGTGTACAAAGTGAAGTGAGAATTAAATTATAAAACCCAGTTGTCAAAGGGTTAAAAATTTGGATTCAGCCTCAGGTCCAGTCCCCCATAATGCAGGGAAGGGTTGTTGTAACCATCTTTTATTATAGGACATCAGTTTTACTTTGTAAAAGAAACCTTCAGGTAGATTAATATTCACAATCCATATTTTAATTCTAACAGGTTTTGAGAAGAGGACATCACTGGGCTAGTGGTCGCATTGCTAATAGAAAACAGAAAATAATTCATTCATGCCATTATGTGAGTTTTAATTAATTAATTAATTAATTGCAATACAGTTAGTACAAGTCATTGTTGGGTATATTAGTGATGATAGCTATTAAGATCCTTACGTCATATATCAAATTATTATTTATGTTAATATCTATTGCCAGCAGGGCTCAATCAATCCCAATCATGTCATTAAACATATACTGTCTACTTGCAGTGAATGTCCATGCATTTAAATGCATTTATGATAGTGATCGATCAGCTAAAATTCTTTTACATTAAGTCACCTGCTGATATATGTTAAAAGATAATAAGATAAGTCTATTAACAAAATCTTCAATCAATTCAATGTGAAAATTACCAAATTTGGGTGAAAATTGTCACCCACTTTGATGCATAAATTACCAAATTTGAGGTGAAAATCTCATATTTTATTTTGTAATTGTGTCATTATAAAGTCCTGTCACTGTAAAATAGATCCCTAGCAGGATACAGCACAGTGCTAGCTATGTAACTGATGATGAGGTCCAGCTGTCAGGTTGGAGGATACTCAGATCAATGTGGAGTCACATATGGCCGAGAGATAAGCCGGCTCTTAAAGTCCGTGTGGTGACTGCTGTTGGACTATTGTTTGGAGCTAAGGTTAATATGACAGGGTGTAGTCTCTCTCTCTTTCTCTTTCTTACTCTTTTATTGTGTGTCTCAGTCTTGTTGTCTCAGTTTAATTTCATTTTTTTAGTTGTTGAATGTGCAAGTTCCTTTTTTCTTCAAATATGCTGTGGATAGTTATAGCAAATTGCCTGATCTTGCTACAACAGAAGGAGCTTTAATCACAGGAGCAACAGCTTTATTGTTAGGATGTGAGTCTTAAAATAATAGCAGATTTTGCAAAAAATGACTAGGGGAAATATTTATTTTTATATTTTTTCGTGATACATATACATGTTCTTATGTTGTGTAGCAAGTTTGAGCTGATTCTGATTGAAATTGGATTTTTTAATGAATTTTAAAAGTTGCTACAAAATTTTGCCAAAAAATGACTAGAAGAGAACTCTTCATTTTAATATATTTTTCTGATACATATGCCCAAGACTCTTTTAATAATAATTATGTCTCTTACACTCTAGATGGAGCTGCCAGGATTGGTGCTTCATTATTCAATGAGCTACGGAATGCTGTATTTGCAAAGGTAGCTCAGTCATCAATACGTCGTGTTGCAAGGAGGACATTCTTGCATCTTCATTCGCTTGATCTCAGCTATCATGTATCAAGACACACAGGAGCAATGTCTAGAGCTGTTGATAGAGGAACTAGGTTTGCCTCTCACTTCTTCCTCTCTCTCTCTCACTCACTCTCTTTTTCCCTCTATTTTTTCATTAGAGGTATCAATTTTATACTCTCTGCTCTTGTCTTCAATGTATTTCCTACTTTCTTTGAAGTTGGACTTGTTGCAGGAATACTGGTACTCTCTACTCTGTTAATCCTAATACTAATAATAATACTTGTAGACATATCGGTGTGGGCTCTCATATGGACTGTTAACAGTAGGGACTATTGGAGTATACACACTCTACACGTTAGCCATGACACAATGGAGGTATGATTCCTACTCTATTTTATTCATGATTGTATTATTATACATTATTTTATTCATGATCATATTAGGACAAAGTTTCGTGTTCGAATGAACAATGCTGACAATGAATCTGGATCAAAAGCAATCGATTCTCTGATTAACTATGAAACTGTTAAGGTATAGTGTAGTGACTGCTACATTAAATATCATTATTTCTCTATTCATATTCATCTCTTGATTTATTCCTATTGTACAGTTGTTTAACAATGAAGCTTATGAAGCAGATGAATATGATAAAGTCCTTGCCAGATATGAGGATGCTTCATTAAAGACGGTTACATCGTTGTCTGCATTGAATTTTGGGCAGAATGCTGTCTTTGGCGTGTCACTGACTGCTGTAATGCTAATGGCCAGTCATGGAATAACATCAGGTATGCGAAAAGGAATTACTAATCGGATTTGAAGCTCACCTGTAACGTGACCCCTGTGGCGCAATGGATTAGCGCATTGGACTTCTAATTCAAAGGTTGTGGGTTCGAGTCCCACCAGGGGTGTATTTTTTTCTTTTTTTATTGCTTTTATTTTTCATTATTTTTGCTTTATACTTTTAGCAAATAATTATCCACTCTTACTTTTAGGTACTCTCACTGTTGGTGACCTAGTAATGGTCAATGGGCTTCTATTTCAGCTCTCTTTGCCTCTGAATTTTTTGGGATCAGTTTATAGAGATGTGAGACAGTCACTGATTGATATGCAAACAATGTTTAACTTACTAAATATTCACTCACAAATAAAAGTATGACAGTCTCTCTCTCTCTCCTCTTAATCTACTGCTACTTAAACTTCTTCCCTTTTATTTACTGTCATCTCCTTTCATTTATAAGGAAAAACCTAATGCACCAAATCTTCTACTGTCTCCAGAATCAAACACTATTACATTTGACAATGTCTCATTTGGTTATGTTGGAGATAAGAATATACTCAACGGTCTCTCATTTACTGTACCAGCTGGAAAGAAGGTTGCAATAGTTGGCGGAAGTGGATCTGGGTCAGTAAGAAAATGAGCTAAAAATAGTAATTTTACTCCTGTCACAATTTTTATAGGAAGTCCACGATAGTGCGATTGCTGTATCGTTTTTATGATCCTCCTCAAGGAAGGATACTGATAGGAGATCAAGACATAAGTGATGTATCAATTGATAGTCTTAGGAGAGCTATTGGTGTTGTCCCTCAGGACTGTGTCCTCTTTCACAACACAATCCTTCACAATATACAATATGGGAGACTAAGTGCAAGCAAGGATGAAGTACTGGAGGCTATAGACACAGCTGGTCTGAAGGAGACTATTAGTTCAATGCCACTCCAATATGAGACACAGGTTGGAGAAAGAGGACTGAAACTGTCAGGTATGGGAGCATTGGTACTCATGGTGCTTAAGTTGTAGCTATATTTTAAGATATGATGCATTGCATACAAACTATATATATTGCTTGTATTGATAATACAACATGTTTTAATAGGAGGAGAGAAGCAACGTGTTGCAATAGCAAGAGCAATATTGAAGGATGCTCCTATACTGGTCTATGATGAAGCAACATCTTCCCTAGACTCTATAACTGAACAGGTAATGATAATGATAACAGCTACATAGCATAAGGACATCAATTTGTATCAAAAAATGTAATAAAAATTGGGGGTGATTTCATAGCCATTTTTTGGAAAAAAACATGGGCTATACTTGGGTATTTTTCAGAAAATGGCATATTTTTTTAAATGGCCATAACTTAAAAAATTGAAGTCAGAATCAGCTCAAACTTTCTACATAGCATAAGGACATCAATACGTATCAAAAAATGTCATAAAAATTGAGAGTGATTTTTTAGCCATTTTTCGGAAAAAACCATACAGGGATTTTTTCAGAAAATGGCCTATTTTTAAAAGTGGCCATAACTTGAAAAATTGAAGTCGGAATCAGTTCAAACTTTCTACACAACATAAGGACAGCAATATGTATCAAAAAATGTAATAAAAATTGGGGGTGATTTTTTAGCCATTTTTCGGAAAAAAAACCATGGGCTATAGTACAGGGATTTTTTCAGAAAATGGCATATTTTTAAAATGGCCATAACTTGAAAAATTGTAATCGGAATTGGCTCAAACTTTTTACACAGTATAAAGACATCAATACGTATCAGAAAATGTCATAAAAATTGGGGTGATTTTTTAGCCATTTTTCAGAAAAACTATGGGCTATAGTACAGGGATTTTTTCAGAAAATGGCCTATTTTTAAAAGTGGCCATAACTTGAAAAATTGAAGTCAGAATTGGCTCAAACTTTTTACACAGCATAAGGACATCAATACGTATCAGAAAATGTAATAAAAATTGGAGGTGATTTTTTAGCCATTTTTCGGAAAAAACCATGGGCTATAGTACAGGGATTTTTTCAGAAAATGGCCTATTTTTAAAAGTGGCCATAACTTGAAAAATTGAAGTCGGAATCAGTTCAAACTTTCTACATAGCATAAGGACATCAATACACATTAGAAAATGTAATAAAATTTGGGGGTGATTTTTTAGCCATTTTTCAGAAAAAACCATGGGCTATAGCCTTAGGTAATTTTCAGAAATTGGCACATTTTTCAAAATGGCCATATATTTGTTGAAATCAGCTTATTGTGCTTATTACTTTTTACAGAATATATTGAAAGCTGTGAGAAAAATAACAGAGGGAAGGACATCAATATTCATAGCACATCGACTCTCAACAATCATTGATGCTGATATAATCTATGTTCTAATGAATGGGAAGATCATTGAAAGTGGAAACCATTATGACCTCATTAGCAATCCAAACTCGTACTACACTGAACTGTGGATCAATCAAAATAAATCAGCCTTTAAATAAAAATTATTTTTACACATAACAATAGTACACAGTCATATTATATAATTATAATTTAGTTATCATAATATTGCTAGTAAAGTTAGCTTTTTAATAAGTTATTAATTGAGTGTTGCTGATTTGATATCGAATTCTGGCATTTCTCCTTTCCTCTTCACTCTTTGGAGTGGAGCCAACGTAATAGGAGATAATGCAGCAGTCAAGTATAGGAGGGAGAGGAGGAGGAGAAAGGGGAGACAAAGAAACAGTATCATCAGACTTTGTGTCAAAAGGATTTCTTCCAATTAGAATTTCAATGTATCTTAAAAGTTTGTTTCTAAACTCTTGATCGAGGTACGGATTGGAAGGCTTGAGGTCCCTAAATAAAACCTGAGCTTCTTTTTTGACAGCTGGGACTGTCATGCTAGCAGTGTCATCTGTAATATAGAGTGGAATTAAATATGCATACATCAACTTTCCATCCTTTCTGCAGGACACACACTCTTGAGTGAGCTCTGATGCTAGAGTGGTATCATCTCCAGTCCTCTTCATTGGATATTCTTTGTTACATTTTGAACACAACAGATAAATGCACTCTTCAACTGACTCTTTCTCTATTCCTTGCACTCTCACTTTACAGCGATGCACAATAGGAATCGTTTTATTCTTCAGTAGCTCTGCCAGATTTGTGAATCTCTTTCCTTCACTGAAACGTAATTGACGAGAGACAAAATACTGACATTGCATCAATGGCAGTTTAGAAAAACAGATTCCTCTGAACATATGCTGCATAAGATGAAGCTCAAACGATTGTGTGTCTTTAGAGTACAATGGAGCAGCATGAATATTAAACAGATATACAGAGTGACCCTCTGAAACAGTGAAACTAGGATGAATACCACCAGGAACTAATATACTGCATGATGCAGTCTCATCATAGACTGACATATGGAGTGAAGAGTCTTTTATCTGAATTGAGGATATAATGCATTCCAGGTCAAAATGAAGTCCAGGGACAATGTCACGTATCTTACAGAGTCTGCTGTGCGAATTTAACAAGCCTTTATTTAAAACCCATTCCCTCAACGAAGTTATAATTTGCAGTTCTAACGAAGACATTGGATATTCTCTGATCACCTCAATTTCTTTGCTAGGATCATAAACAAATAAATTTCTAGGTGACCTGCAAGTGATTTGCATAAACATTCTGTACATATTGATACTGACATTACGAAGCATGACAATGTGCCCGACTCTTAAATTGTTGGGAAAATCAGACTCTCCTCTACCAAAAACAGTAACAGAGACTTCTTTGCCAGGAGGTAAGCTCATGTCTGTTATTGTAAATGACTGGTAATACCCTCTCCTTGTTTTTGGGAGGCTTGGGAGTTTGAAGTGCTGTATGCAGCCAGTCGCATTAATGATGGTGTCTTTCTTTAGGTCCCTCAAATACGGGTAACGGAGTGGACGAAAGGACAATCGAGGAGTGCTGGTCATAAGTCTTTGAATATTATTGCTATTATTATTATTAATTTTAGCAATGGGATGAGTAGGAAACACCCTTCTTGATATTATTTCTTGAGATACGACTTGTAATGGTATCGAAGAGACATATACAACTGGTGCTAGGCACTTCTTTAGCTTACTATATAAAGATTGGCTCACAAACACACACAAATGATCACCTGATATGCAACGAGTAGTACTAGAGTCTTCTTTGTAATGACCACCATTTATGTAGACTAACGAGTTTCTGCCTGGACTCTTCAGCTGTTTGACATGGCGTTCAGATAAATGCACTTTTATCATGCACCCTGAAGGAAGCTCAGTTGATTTATCATCAGTTATGTACATGAAAGATGATTTTTTAGTTACTAATTTCATAACCAGACCTTTGACACAAACAGAAGGGCAGGGGTGCCCCCTTGGGGTCTGGATCAATTGGTTTATTGTGGTAATCCGGGGACATTGAGCTACAAATTCCTCCAAGTACTTGTTGGTATGGCTTGGGACAACAAAGACAAACCTGTTGACTTTCAATGGACGACTGTGAATGAGCAAATCCCTCGGGAAATTCTCTTCACTCATAACAAACTCTGAAACTCGCCCAAATGATTCCACGTGGGTGGTGGGATGGACTGTCATGCCCCTTAACTTTTCAAAAATGGATGGTGGCGGGTGTGTTTCTGTGAGCTGGTCACAGGAGAGACAGGATAGCGAATGGAGGAAGAGAACCTACGAGCAAATAAGAGATTCAGAGCTATTAGACATTAAAAGTAGACCTGCAAAAGTTAGTGTGTTGGAATTTAAGTATTGGAGAATATCAATATCTATGAATTTATGATATGTATACATATATATATATGTATATATTGCATATATGTATGTGTGTTCTTTTTTGCAAGCTTGTAACATCAAGGTGTGAACAAGGTGCTAAATGCGATAATATTGTAATTGGAAAATGGTTTTTGTGAATAGGAATTTGGGGCATAACCAACTCTATTTATACTTAATTATTAATTATTTTTGTCGTAGATTTTTTGTTTATCCTCTTCAAGTTCAAATGTACCATGTACTAATGTCATTAAGCAAAGCAAGACCAACAGGCACACTCCAGTATCAATACATCAGCAACAACAGCAACAATCATCATCCTCCAGTGATCAGTTTTCATCCATTACTCAGCATTGTGTTAAATGTCAATCAGGATATGGTGTAAGTAACATTTTTACTTGAACATGCATAGATGATTCTAATGGTATGTACATGTAGAACCATATGCAATACACTGATGTGTGATCATTAGATAATAATTAATTATTTTATTTGTAGGGTCACCTTAGTCATATACTGGAAAAAAACTGACACCATTTGACTGTTTATAGTTATATATACATGCCTCTATTCCTACTGTTATTTATTTTGTTTATTATTTATTTTTGGAGATTTTAGCAGGAGATTTTAGTGATTTTAATAATTAATTTGATCTAGTTATTAATAATAAAATGTCTACCCTAAGAAGATCAGAAAGACTTGTAAAATTGAGGTCTCTCTTAGAGTATGAGTCAATAACAAAGAAAAAGGATGCCCAATTAGCAGGAAAGATCAAGCACAGCTCCAGTACATGTCCTTCCAAATCTTCTGAAACGAAAAGTAGAAAATCAAAATATTTCTCAGCTAAAGTAGTGGCAGCTAAGAGTACTAAACTAAGGGCATCGAAAAGACAGCCAACCAACCAGAAACGAAGTACTTATTTTAAAGAGAAAGATAAACAAGTTGTTCAATCTCCTCATAACCACAAACACTTGGAATATCCTCATTATGCTCCACCTCGATCACCTTATGGACTCATACAAGAGGAACTGTGGCAGGATCCATGGAAGCTATTGATTGCTACAATCTTCCTTAACAGAACTACTGGTAACATGGGAAGGGAAGAAAAAAGCATTATGCATGTACCCATTATATAATATATAGGGGGTATATTTTTGGGAAAAATATTTAGCAAAAACCACCTTTCAACCTGTTTGTGAGGAAAATTTTTGATCCCATAAATACCCAAAGTTTGGTGTATAACTTATGCTTATATGTATTTCTTTTTCTTATAGGTAAAGCTGCTATTCCAATTTTATGGAAGTTTTTTGATTGTTACTCAACACCAGAAGAAGCGACTGCTGCTAATTGGAAGGACATTGCAAGCATGATTGAACCACTCGGGCTCCACATCAAAAGAGCTAAAATGATAATCAGATTCTCAGGTATTATTGAAATAATTAGATAATGTACTCTCTGTGAGCTAGAATTTTTATATTTATTTACCATTATGATTGCAGCTATGATTACTATATTATTTGACATGATAATATTAGCTATTTTGTCCTATAGGAGAATATTTAAGCAATGACTGGGTATACCCTATTGAACTCCATGGCATAGGCAAGTATGGCAATGACTCATATCGCATCTTTTGCACTGAAGAGTGGAAAGAGGTAATTCTGAATCACATGTTCAATTTCTGTTACATTAAATATAAGGCCTTTATGCATAGAGTGTATGCCATGGGCTATGCATTTATATCAAAGTTGTTGAAGTTTTGGGAGAATCTTTTTTTAACTGGGACTATATGACAGGCAAAAACCCATTAGTTTTATTGTCACAAGATCCGTAACAAGCAAAAACTATTTGGTTCCATTGTTACAAAATCCGTGACAAGCAAAAACTATTTAGTTCCATTGTCATGAAATTTTTGACAAGCAAAAACCCATTTGTTCCATTGTCACGAAATCCGTGACAAACAAAAACCCATTTGTTCCATTGTCACAAAATCCGTGACAAACAAAAACCCATTCGTTCCATTGTCACAAAGTCCGTGACAAATAAAAAACCCATTTGTTCCATTGTCACTAAATTTGTTTGTTTCTAAAAATAAAAATAAAAAATTTGTCATTTTAATATAGCTCATCAATCCTCTTTGACAAGACTTCTAAAATTTCTATTTTCCTACTGAGCTCAACCTTTCTAGGACATGTTCTGATACAATTAATTGTCATTGGCTAAGCATGCGATCTATTAAATAATGAAATGACGTTTGTTATCGGTTTTCTCAGCCTACTAACTGCATTTAAGTGATAGTCATTATTACTTGGCCTGACTTGGTTACATTATGTATGATTAGGACCATATCTCTTTGCTAGGTACGTCCTAATGACCACATGCTCAATAAATACTATGAGTGGCTGTGTCAATTGAATGACTATCATCCTGAGGACTGGGAACCTTAAGAAACGTTGCTGGTTTGTGTCATTTTTATATGCATCCATTTTATATCGATCACTTATGTTATTAACACTTCTTAATAATAAAAAATAACGTCAATAATCATAATGAATATTTGCATAATTATAATTATTATTATTATTATTGCTATCATTATTATAAATCAATTTGATTCTTCTTCATCTGTTGCATTGTTTTCTTCACCTCTCACTGTCAAAATTAAAAAAAAATCATTTATTATAAGTTCACATGCACAACAATATAAACTTCATTAAACTAATAATTTGTAGACAAAAAATATTTACTTGCTGACCTATTCTACGTGCACATGTAACAGTATCATATAAAAATTTTGAGAATTATAATTGCAACGAATCTCCCACACAAGTCATGTGCATTTATATGTACAAGCATGAAAGGAGAGACAGTAGTAGTATCACTAATACATGTACATTCATGAGAACTATGTGGACTCACTCCTCCTCCTACGATTGAGATAAGCTAACACGTGAAGAATGAACGACGAAGGGACGGTTATCGTGTTCCGACTCTCCTGAAGCATCGTCTCATTCCGGAGTATGATGCTATCAAGATCACTTAAGTCACAGGGATCATCAGAGACCGGCTCCCATAGCTTTATATCGTAATCTATACCACTTGTAGCTAATACTAGTGAAGGAAATAATAAATGTACACTTTTTGAGGCATAATGCCCACATATTATACATACAATGCTGTAGTTACTTACAGCAGGAGCAAGGATGTGGTTGTACACAATTGACAACATGAGAGTCGCCAACTAGTGCATTAACAATCTCCCCAGTCCACTTGTCCCATACAAATATCCGTCCGCAATCGCTCCCACTCATAATGAAATCATTACCCCAGAAATTAGCTTGTTTTATCTAATGAGCAATAATATGATAATAATTAGTAGATGAGAAAACATTGCATGTATATTGAGATTTAATTAGTAATACTGCAGAACTACATGTACAATAGTAACTATTATTTTCTTATTAACTGACCATTGTTCTAGCGTTCCTGTGTCCTTGGTACATCATCAGTGGCTGGTTATTTGACTTGATGACTTTCAAGTCTTTCTCCTGTTCTTCATCATCAATCTCATCATTAATTGAACAGTAGTCTCTCTCTTCCTCTCTCTCCTCTCTCAGGTCATCACTATCACTCTCTCCCTCCACTAGCTGTATTCTACTGCCTCCTCTAGAAACTCTAGCTCCAGTAGAAGCATCATTTTCTACTGAGCCACCATCAGTGTTCTCTCTTCCAGGGTTAGGAGTTACTTCACGATCCTCCTCCTTCTCCTCTTCTTCTAATGTTCTTACTGCTAATGATCTCAATGGGCTTGCCAATCCATCACTAGCTGATCGAGTCACTTGTCTTGCCCGAGTATATGATTGCCCTCTTCCTCTTTTATTGGGCTCTTCTTCCTTCTCTCTTCCTCTTCTTCTCTCTCCTCTCTCCTCCTCTTCCTCCTCTTCCTCCCTCCCTCTATCACTAGTACTCACACCTGGCCTTGCTTTGTGAGGTGAGTCTGTACTGCAAGATGCCATTGCAGTGGTCAGTGATGCTGTTGGTGTCTTAGGATCACCTGTTGAAGACTCTTCATCAGATTCCTCATCACTGAATAACTGAAATGAAGAGTCCTCACTGTGTACCGAGCTCACTTCACCATCTCGGGTAGAGTTCACTGTGCCACCAGTGGATGGTACACTAGTCAGATTACTACTGTTAGAACTAAGTGACTCATCAATCCAACGTGCAAACAAGTGAGACATTCTATTCATGAATGTACTGCGACTGCCTCTACTTTCGCTCTCTCCCCCTTCCTCTCTTTCTTCCTCGTCTCTTTCTTGAGTATTTTCCGGGCGAGCGTCAGGCCCAGTGTCCGACCAGTCACCTCGAAGCCGAAGCCTTTTGGTCGGTGGCGTAAAGTTACTCTTAGATGAAGCAGAAGAACTTGAGGTATTCTCTTTACGACGGGTTTCGCTACGACTAGCAGTATAACGGGATGACGAGGGCCTACTTACCCTAGTATTAATATCCCCACCACAACCAATCAAGCAACTACTGAATAAATAAAGATAGTCTTCACTGTAATTGACGAGGAGCTCTGATCCAGTCTCGTTAAACTGGAGGCTCGTTATCTTAAAAGGTTTCTTTGATAGAGACTCTGGTTTAAAGCGACTCACGCAGGCCTTGGTACCTAATAGTGTAGGAGTTTGATGTGAGGCCTCTGGCCCATTGTACCCAGTGACCCTCCTGTCCATAAGGCAGACCGTACCATCACCTAATCCCAGGGATAAGTAATTAGGAGACAGGGGATGGACTGATAGACTTGTCACACCGCATGGAAATGCATAAAGGACATCCTATGAAACAAAATAAAAATATGTTACATGATTCAGGGTTACTCACAAAGCCTACTGACAAGCACTACAATAGTAAATGTATTGTTACACATGGACTTTATAGCAACTTTAAAAATTCATTAAAAATCCAATTTTCATCGGAATCAGCTCAAACTTGCTACACAACATAAGAAAGTGTATACGTATCAGAATAACTTATAAAAATAGAGAATTCTCTCCTAGTCATTTTTGCCAAGATTTGGCCAAAAACCCTGTACTATATATAGTACAGGGACTTTGGGCCAATTTTGGAGAATCTTTAAAAATTCCTTAAAAATCTAGTTTTGATAGGAATCAGCTCAAACTTGCTACACAACATAAGAAAGTGTATACGTATCAGAATAACTTGTAAAAATAGAGAATTCTATCCTAGTCATTTTTGGCAAGATTTGGCCAAAAACCCTGTACTATATATAGTACAGGGACTTTGGTGGGCCAATTTTGGAGAAACTTTAAAAATTCCTTAAAAATTCAATTTTGATCGGAACAAGCTCAAACTTGCTACACAACATAAGAACATGCATATGTATTAGAAAAAAATTATAAAAATGAAAAATTCTCTCCCAGTCATTTTTGGTGAAAAACCCTACTATGCCAAAATCTTGTGGGAAACCTTAGTTACACATTCCTTATAATAATTATGCATGTACATTTACAGCGTGTATTGTAAATTGTCTTTTACTCCTCTTATTTCATATTACAGTATGTAGGCAGAGACACATTCCTTGTAACATATTATCATTATTAGTGGCTTTTACTGGTAGTTACTCCTTAAATTCCATGCATTCCTTCACGCTAGAGCTCAAAGTACATTTAGAGTTCAAACAAGATGCAAATTTGCAAATTAGCAAAGAACGTATAATAATATAAAATAATGTATTTCATAATTCAATTCATTTAATGCACCAGTACATGTCAATGTACATGTATTACATGAACATTGAATTGGTAAAAATAGAATTTACTAAACATAAAGTATCAATAATGGCTACATAATATAAATAATAAATAAGAATAATAAACAATATAATACATGATCATAAATAAATTCATCTATCATATACATACACATTTATGCATCAAAAATAACTGTGCATGTACATGTACATGTATATACCTCTCTTAAATTCTATTATCAATCACATGTACATGTACATGTACATGTACACTACATGCAACAACTAATACGTCGGTAGTAAAGTTATGTTTACATGTACATGTATAGTACCTTATCACAGCCTTCACAAGAACAGGATGACTTTATCCTCAGATCAAACAAACGGACGTACCCTCTCTCCTCACAGGTTAGGAATTCATTAGGATCACAAGGAGTTGTAGTTACCTGGCAACCGCATTGACAAATGATGCATTAATTGAAGCACAAGGAAATGAGTGAGTGAGTGAGCATTAACATAAGCATAAATAATGTATTATTGTGTATGCGTGTGTGTGTGTGTGGATGTACTATGTGAAATAGCTAACCTGATATGTGATAGAGTTCTGACAATTGAAGGAATGAGGAAGATAGTCACCAGACGGAGTAAATTCTGAGAATTCAACAGATCCCAAGCCAGCACAAGATACACACTACACAATGGGAGAGAGGAAAAAATAAACGTGTACATGTATATTATGAATTAGCTAGTAGAGAACAAGGCTATATAATGTACTACTAAGTAGATGTACCATTTATACAATGTATGACTGTATCATGATAATTGTAGAAATAGTTACACATTCACGTCTAACCTTATAGTCACATGGTGAAGGTAAAAATTTGGCACTGAAGATATTTGAGCGATGAGAGGAATGAAATGAGAGCAGTAACTATAATGAGGATGATTATTAACTTCTCTTTTATTATTATTTTATTATTATTATTATTGTTATTATTGTTATTGTTGTTATTGTTGCATACTTTTCTCTTTAGTACATCGTATATGTTTAAATGACAGTCGTCAGATCCTGAGAGAAGACGAGATCCATCAGCATTCCACGAGACAGTGTTCACCTTTAATATAATAATAATAATAATAATTTAAATGTATGCTGTAAATAGAAAAAGATTAATACTGAATACGCGTACATGCGTAATCGGAATTGATTCAATATTAAAAATACTTACACATCCATTATGGCCAGTGAGTTTTGCTGAATTTGAGAGTCTCTGAGCTAAATAATGTGATCCTAATTTAACAATAAATTAATAACTTTTGTTCACAAACAAAAACTATAATTAAAATTTTATTTGGTCATTCGTTTTCAGTGGCATTACCTTTGAATGGGTCCACGTGGTTATAAAAAGAAGTTGTCTCAGTCCTCCGTGCTCTTGTCCATTCAAAAATACCAATACCCTGAGGCTGACACATAACTTGTTGTTGCTATGGGAAGGCGGAGATTTATTGATTTTAGTCCTTTAACCTCCACACCTACCAAGTGTTCCAATGACCCACGTGGAGACACGTGGGCCACGACTGGGTAGCAAGGAAACTATTTTGGCTCTTCGCTTTTTCTTAACTTCTTAACTTATTGTAGTTTTATTCAAGCTATTACCTATTGGAATCCATCTTTGTTTTTGTAGTATTTTTTAAGGACTGTAATGAATCGATGCGTCATATTGTAGGTGTTGAAAAAAAGCAGCATTGTTTTTTAACCTCCACTCCTCTTTGTCGAGAAATATGGGGGCAGTCAAGTCTTTGTTGAGACTGACCGGTAGCAAGGAAGCAACCACAGCTGCTAGACAATCCAGGAAATGGACAAGACGTAATGGCACACACGCTATACCATAATGCTTAATTTGTCACCATGAAGACACACACACAGTTGATGACATGTAGTTATGTACACTGTTAGCAATCATGTTTAAAGCAGATGTTAAATCTCCTATATCATGTACTAATAAATGTTACATCATTCGTCTGCTACAGTATACGTTGATATACATACATACACGGTACATGCTGAGCCACCATTAGTGGCTAATGGTACAAATGAGATTATGCCCAAGAGTGTAGTTAGTTGTTTGACTGTGTGTGATCATATTTATGGTGTTATGAAGCCAGCTGGCACCTAATTGTGTTCCCGCTCACTAGAATTAGTGTCTCTGTTGCTTTTAATACAAATGAGCCAATTTAAGTAGTTATACAGATACAAGCAATCTAAGTACTAGTAAAAAGCTGGCTGCAATCAATTAGTGGATAAATATAGCTAAAAGCAAGTAGGGAAATATTACTAACACCTTTACTGACAGTAGTAAAGTACCTCATTACCTACTAGCTGATAAATCATTAGTGGAATACATACTAATAAAATTAGTCACTGCTTCACTGCCAGTCAACTATCAGATTAGCTGTGTGCATGCTCTTAGCAATTAGTAGGTAGTTCATTTAGTAGAAATGAGGTTATGTTCCTTGTTCTCGTGTTTCAGCTAATGACTTGTGGGCTAGCTACATGGGCTTGGTAAATTTAATTAAATTATGCTTTTACTCCTTAAGTCTTAATAATGCATTTTACATTATGATAGTTCGCGTAGAGGCATACATGCATACAGACGTAAGCTAACATTGTCAATCCATGCCTCTTAGCTTGATGTACATGTAAGATACCTTTAACTGTACCATTATAAATCTCTCTCTCTTTTTATTGTTATAAAGTCTCCTGGGTCCTCCTTTCCTTTGTTTGTTGTTATTGTTCATTGTTAACATCAATGTTTAATGTTATTATTAGTGACTGAAACAGGGTTATAATCATGACCAATGTAGACATTAATACTTAAATGGAGTAACAGTTTGCATATGAGTAACAGCTGTATAGTTATGATACGTATTATGCTTTCATTTTAGCCGAACCAGTTGTTCCTCCTTCCAGTTCTGTATCTCCTGATTCATCCAACGAGCAAGTACTCAAGAACTTAAAATCAGTTTATGTTGACTCCACAACCACCCACCAGAAAGTAAGTTAATAAAAGAATGCCACCTGCTAAATGTCTCCCAGACTTGTTTGTACTATTCTGTGTATATGAAGTCTTATTTTATATACTCCCATCAGTGATCAAATGTGTCAAGCCTTGTGTGTACCAAGCTAATGTGTCATTTAATACATTCACTTCTCTCTCATTCATAACAATAATGTACTCGTGGTCATTCCTTGCTGCTGTGATTTATTACACTTACCTCATTTTCAATGATCACAACAATGGTATGTGTCATTTTATCCACATCGGGAGCAGGTGTCCGTGCATCCTTTGCAGTCAATGCACAGTCTGTATCAGCTACTAATTGATCCCATTAATTATGAGGAACGGCTCACTGGGTTTTTAACAAACAAAATAGTTAATGTGCATGTACATGTATGTGTGTGTCATGATGATGCTCAGCATAGTGTGCCAGTAATCCAATATCTGTGGCTAAGCTAATGATGTCAGCTGTGGTATATGTACTTGTTATTTATTTATTTATTTATTATTATTATTAAGAGTGACTGTGAATGAGGGACAACAGGAATGCAGCTTCATGCCAGTGGATTTCAAGACCTTGTACTGTATGTAGTACAGCTGATTCTGATCAAATTTGGATTTTTAATGAATTTTTTAAGTTGCTCCAAAATCGGACCAAAGTCCCTGTACTATAGTACAGGGTCACTGGCCAAATTTGGTTAGAAGAGAATTTTCTATTTCTATAATTTATGCTGATACATATACATGTTCTTATGTTGTGTAGAAGTTTGAGCTGATTCTGATTCAAATTGGATTTTTACAAATTTTAAAAATTATTGTTCAAAATGTCACATCTTTTTTTGCACTTTTATGTGGGTTCTGTGTTATAGTTGTGTTATGTTATTTGTCTTTTTTTGTTTGTGGTTGATAATAATAATAATAATAAATTAATAATAATGATGATTATGATGATGATGTGTGTTATTATTATTATCAAATAGATTGACAATCCTTATAAACCCTCCATGGCTCAATCAAGAGCCACTACTAGTGATGGAGAGAGAACTGACTCCACCAATAAAGGACTGCTATCAGTTAATGAAATCATTGCTGTACTTGAAGCTCACAGAACCAAATCAAAGACAATAGAGGAGCTATCGCAAGAGACCGGAGTCAATTCCCAGCACCTCACAGCACTGGTTCAAAATTTTGGGAACTTATACATAAAAGGAGATCCAGAGGAAATAAAAAAACTAAATCGTCCGAATCTGGAATTTCATCCTCTTCATAAGTAGCATCTGAACACATAAATATTGTTCATTCTTGACATTTTGTTGATAATATGATAGTAGTGTTAGTGATGATCATCATTCACAATCAAATGCATGCGTTTGTTCATGCGTTGCCATAACTGTGCATAGCTTGAACACATTCATACTTTCATTCATTGATGTATATACGTACATGCTAAATTGCCAACAGGTGTCGTCCTCTGTGTGTGCATCTATTCTGAACTATCACTCTGCCTGGAATGTGTGTGCTGGTGACATTATTTAGCATAGCTGTTGACCAAATCACGCGTACTTTTTAATTGGAGCAATCTAAGCACAAATATTAGAGTGACAACAATTAAGGGGAGGATTGCTGATATGTACGAGTGATGTTAGTAGAGCTTGTGTGGGATTGGGCAAGTTATTTGAGTTAGTCTACGTGAGCTTTGAAGGAATACAATATCTCTGTCGGTTAATTTGTCATTGTTATTATTATTCATTTTTCTTTATAATAATGATATCCACATTGTTAAGAGAGAGAAAGGGACACTGCTTCTTTGATAGAACAGAAATCCAAAAATAATAATAATAATAATTTTACAAAAATAATGATGAAACTGTATATTATCATAAGGCAGAGAGGTGCTGTTTTCAATAATGCATGTGTACAAAAATAATAATAATAAGGAGAAATAAAATGTCAGAGAATGTATATAAAAAAGATAGAGCCAAAAAGAATACTGTAGATCAGGCCAGCAATTGACACTATATTATTTTAATAATGGAATATAAACAATGAGGATGAGTGTGTGTATGTGTGTGTGTATTTGACAAAAGATTGGTCTACAAAGTATATCTCACACATAGACTGGCTGTGGAGTGGTGCGCTTCTTCTCCTTCCTCATTTCCTTGTGCTCCCTCTGACTGCTCTGAGGTCTATCATGAGCAGAGCTACCACTACTGCTAGCCTGAGCCTGGGAGTGATAGGAGGAAGAGGAGGAGGAGGAAGATGGAGCTATGGTCGGCTTTTTGGCATCCGATGCTCTATCCGAAGCAGCGAAACGGATAAAGGTAAACTCGTAGAAAGCGTGTTCAGGGTGGTCTTGTGGCATTACTTCAGTAGGCGTGGCCTGTTTGTACATCTTCTGGACTTGACTCTGGGGGACCGGGTCGAAATTTGAGGTATCCCCCTCGTACATTATCTTTGGTTTGTAAGGAGCGACATAGTTACGTATTCCGACATCCCAATCAATGCGAGAGGTGAAGAAAGGATGGTGCTTTATCTCGTCCGCTCCATTTCGTCCAATCCTGTCCTGGGGGTCAGAGAGGAATCGTAACACAAGATCACGTGCGGCCGTCGATAACTGGGCGTGGTGAGGTATCCTAAGGTACTCGGGCCAATTGACAATCTTTAGCTGAGTGTCTGCAGGTGCTGAAGCCATGAACGGAGGCTGACCGACTAACATTTCATACATGATGACGCCCACCGACCACCAGTCGCACAACTGAGTGTAGCCAACACGACGGAGTATCTCTGGAGCAATGTAGTTAGGGGTGCCTACTAGTGAATGAGCTACACATCTGTGATGCTATAGAGAGAAAAGAGAGAGAGAGAGGTAATAGAGTGTGAGTGAGAGATAAACAAATTTCAAACCAATTATCACTCAAATTGAATTCTTGCGTTAATTCATTATGAGATGAAAGGGCTCACTAATGAAGCACTAACATGCACTCTCACCCTCCCATCCTCTCCTTTGCTACTCACTTCTTTCAATCTTCTAATCTCAAGTGGTTTCATTGGACAAGTACACTGGTCTCCCCACGCAGAGGTGTCTGGCTCAATGCTCCCTTGTCTTGTGTGTCCACTGCTCCCTTTTGGCTGATATCGCTTTGAGTCGTGTGTCCACCTAAAACCAGTGCAGAGCCCGAAATCCGTTAGTTTAATGTGCCCGTCAGCTTCTATGAGGATGTTGTCTGGTTTTATGTCGCGATGAATGAATCCCATCTTGTGGACCGACTCAATGGCACACACGAGCTCTGCTATGTAGAAGAGGGTGAGGTGCTCAGGAAATGTTCCCAGTTTGATTAGCAAGCTCATCATGTCACCACCTAAGAGAGAGAAGACATAGATATTATACACATACATGTATATAAACACACACACACAAGAATGACAACACATTACATGTATATAAATGCAGTCACACTAGGCCCGTCAGAGACACTAATGATGTAGAATCTCAAAAATCCACCACTAACTATGTTAACACTTATGATATGGACACAATAAGAATGCCAGCAATACATAAACTTTGACCAACTAAGGATAGAGAGACATACCAGGGATGTATTCCATCACAAAATACAAACACTCTGCGTCTTGGAATGAATAATAGAGCTTCACCACCCACTCATTGTCAGCCTCCGCTAGTATATCCCTCTCTGCCTTCACATGTGCTACTTGATTACGACGGACTACATCAGCTTTACGGAGGCTCTTCATGGCGTAGAGACGTCGAGTGTCTTTCTTCCTCACGAGTGATACGACACCAAAAGCTCCCACTCCGATCGGCTTCACTATATCAAACTGGTCTCTGTGCATCTTTGCTCTTTTCATCCTCAGGAAGTTTGACTCTTTTTGTGCTAGGAGCTTGCGCATTTGCTCACACGTGGCCTCGTCTAGTCCTCTCTTTCCCATCTCTACTTCCAGTTTCATCCGCCTTTGTTGTCTCTGCTGGTAGGCCTTTAGAACGTTCTCTATGTGTTGCTCCATGTAGAATTTGAATGCTTCGGGCGGCACGGGGTTTCTCTGAGGTGCAGTCTCCTCTTCTATCCCGCTGTCTGAGAGCTCAGAGGCCGGACGAATAATAGGAGAGTACCCATGAGGTAATCGAGCGTTTCTATCATAGACGGGCGGAGTCTGCATCTGACGAGAGAAAGGGGCGGAAAACGGTGAGTAGGTCCTTGGCTGTACATCAGGAGGAGGCGATACATGTACATGTCGTTTTGATTCCGGGGGTGGAGTACCGTGGGGAGAATGATCAGGCGAGGAGTGGATTGGGGAGAGGTCGCGGGTGATGAGAGTCGGAGGGTATGGGTCCATGGTGACAGAGTGCTTGGTGAAGGACTGTCCGGGGAGAGAAGAGGTTGATGTGGTCTCAAAGTGATTGGGAAGGAGGTCGCTGTTGTCAAGTGAGGTCTGATACTGGGGAGGGGGAGGGTGAGGGTGATAGCCACTTGTCTCTCTGATTGATGATAGGCCGGTGCTGCTGGTGGTGGAGATGGGTGTACTTCTCTTTCCTGACATTAGGACATCAAGTGCTGCTTCAACACTGTGCGAGTTACACTGAATCAGGGCAGCTATGCAGGAGTTCTGTGAACATAAAAGAAGGGAAATTGAAATTTTAAGACAGAATAATCATAATAATATAATAATAATTATAGTAAATGATGATGAAGATAAGGAGCAAAACATCGGGTTGGTTTCTGCCCACATAAATGCTGTCTAAACTATCAATAATGCAACTGATAAAATCAGAATATTGACTAATCAATGATGCACACAGATTAGCCTGTGAACATTATAACCTTGTTCAAAACCAACCCTCATACTATGAGAACAGTCAGTGAGCCATGACACCATTTAGACATTACAATCACACACGTTGCATATACATATCATGTTGGACTGTGTATAAGCATCACTGGTTGCAAGCTAAGAAATAATGCAGCGACAAGCACACACAGGTACAAAGGAGGGTGGGGAAGCTAAAACTTAATTACTGTGAAGACATATTGCCCACACAATACTCAATAGTGAGGAGCAATGGAGGCTATTATAACGTATAAAACAAGTCCAGTATTTACACAACAAAGGAGAAAGAGAGAAATACAGGGGAGGAGGGAGGTTTGCGAATTTAAAAATCAAGCAGTGAATAGAGGGAAGGAGGCTTGCGAATTTAAAAATCAAGCAGTGAATATCTAATAAAAGTGATAACAAGAGTGTCTTCACACTAGATCAAGCCAACCATTAGAGTCGATACATTCCATACAATTATCACCCCATGTCACCTACTCTTTCTCTCTTTCTCCTTCTCCTCTACCAGCAGGCACTAACCTGATCGTAGCCTTTCATGATGAGTTCGTGTAGCATGTCCTGGTCCACAGCATCGGGCGGATAGTTAAAGCCAGGGTCGGATTTGTGGTGAGGCTTCAAGTTATCCCTTATTCGAGCCATCTGTTCACCGTGACGGTGCCTCTGTCTCTCGCTCTCCACAGGCGAAGGCCGAGACTTCACTCTACTGCTTCCAGGAGAAGAAGACTCGACTAGCGTCACTGGACTGGGGGTAGCTGTCTCTCTGACTGGAGAAGGGGTGACGGATTTCCTAGAGGCGGCGAGGTTGACTCGTATGCCTTGTAGAACCTGCTCGTTACCAGCAGTGCTGCTCTGGGAGGAAGAGCCGACGGCTGGTTTCCTCACTTTTCTGTCCTTAGACTCTCTGCTACTCATCTCTCTTTCTGGAGGAGGGAGGTATTTTTTGCAAGATCAGTACCAACTCTCCTTTTTCAACTGCCTCAAATCCACAGAACACACAAACACAAAAAGTGCTCGCCCGGCAGGATACCAACGTATACTGGCCGTATACTCTTATTATCTCCGTTTACAGAGGAAGTAGCACCGTATTCTATGCATTCCATTCCGCATACTACGGATGCCAGCACTCGCCCGTCTGAACATTCCTAATTTCCTTTGCAGATTCAGCGGCTCAAAGGAACAGATAAAATAACACTCCCACCAGTCACCAAACATAAAATCACAAATTGACAAAACACTAAATACACACCTCTAGCTCCAACGCCCTCGTTTACAGTTATTAATAAGAAAATTAATTGTTGTTTTTAAAATCATGGCTACCGATGAAGGAGACGAAGACATTCCTGTCTTATCGGCGTATGCCTTGGCGGCACTTCAAGAATTCTATGATGAGCAAATAGCAAAGCAGGAATGTGTCAATACAGTGCAAGAGGACTGGGTACATTTAGCACACACAAAGAGTAGTCATGTATTCACACGTGTGTGGCTGCCACACCCAAAATTGGAAAACTCTCATTATGTTTTGGCAATGATTATCATAATTGCATTACTAAAGAATTATCCCTTCATATACTGACTGCCCCCAAACACATTCACGATTGCCTTTTTTCCAGTCTCCAATGTGGTTTCCTGACCATAATCTTGAAAACCACAAACTGTTTGCGACTTGTACACACACCAGGCTACAAATTCCACATGTCCACCAAAATTCCTTTTTTAGCAATTGAGTCAGTTTTGGTACGACGAAGAGACAACAGCAACACTGGCCGAGGAATGCTTTAAAGAATCGGAAGGAAAGTATGATTATCATAATACTTATCATTAAATATTATTGAGTAAATAATTCCTCAATATATCTCTATATAGCATTGCTTGCATATCATGTCCAACTCTCTATGCAAAACTCTCCCAAGACTCGTCTTGCAAACAAAGCCGTATAGTACTCCTTGAATATGACAAACGTTTTGCTATACATGGAGAAGACTATGTTCATTATGATTACAATGCTCCATTGGATGTACCGGATAGCATTAAGAGTTTAGGATTTGACTTGGTCATTGCTGATCCGCCGTTTCTCTCCGAGGAATGTTTAACAAAGGTCTCTCAAACCATTCGACTACTGACTACTAATAAAATAATTCTATGCACGGGTAAGCAGCATGAAATGATGGGGCTTTGATGCTCGTTGCATTCAAACGCATCCAAATTTAATGCAGATTATATCATGATTGTGCACAAAGCATAGTTAGGATGAAATAATAATTTGTTATTGTCCGTGGATGGATACAATGTAAGTCATCTTCACTCCCTTCCGTGTATCAGTATCATTCCCTATGTAATACAGTGTATCAGTATCAAGCAAAATTGGGTTAAGTGGGTAATCATTGTTAGAAGTGAGAGGCAAAATTAATGGTTACAAATTGCTTCTTTTTGCTTCATATTATTATTATTATTGTTATTAGTGGCACAAATCCATAAAATAAAAAGAGGATGTTATCATGTTAATTGCCAGTGTGGCAAATTGCCACATGTGAATTAAGACTAATGTGACATTAAGGATGCGGAGGGGCTTAAGTTAATGCATGTTACTCGAGAATTATGTACGTCATAATTAAGTTTAACACTCCCATGTCTTATTTTTTTCACACGCACTACCCCAACACAACAAGGCAAGAATCAATAGTGTGTAGGACTGTAGGTGAGATGTACTATCTTTGGCTGTATAAGCAATTCGATTAGAGACTGTGTTGTCTGAGAATGAGTCTCTACAACTGATATGATAAGCCCATTATAAATAAGCACATTATATCAATGACATCATCTCATAGACCATGTAGTATGTACTAATCATATTCACTGACTCTTCTTACTCTGCTGATAATTGTTATTTTGGCATCACACCTTCTGTCTCCATAGATATTAGAGTAAATGAAATTTACTCTAATATCTATGCTGTCTCACAGCTGTCGAGTGAAGAGAGTACATCAGAGTGCACAGGTCACCATCATTAGTACAATGTACTCCATCTATCTGATTTCACTCTCTTTCGTATGTTTTGACTATCATTAGGTACTGTAATGGGAGAACTGGCAAAACAAATCCTACAAGTGGAGGAATGCCGTAATTTCATCCCAAGACACAGGAACAACTTAGCCAATAGTTTCTCTTGTTATGTGAACTATGACAGTGCATTGAAATGAGCTGATAAATTTAATATATCATTATCATCATTATTGCTGATAAGTGTTGACATTTCCTTTATTAAGCTGGTTCAAATTAAAATAGTCACTGCTGAACATGTAATATTATATTAAAATAGTAACTGATCGAGTATTGCAGCAATAGCGATTAATAATTAGTAGAATAAAAGACATATTGAAAAACAATGAATATACATGTACTTAATGAGTGACAACATTGACAAGTATAATACTAGTCAATTGTACATACATGTACATATTATCATCATTACTATAATGACATATTGCTCACATAGATGAAGCATGTTTACTACTAATAGTGTTAGTACTAATGACAGTCTATATTAGGGAGTACATACATTGCTTCACCATCAGTGACACCCACAACACAATTCTTATTAGATACATCAAAGGAATTGACCGAGTGGACATTGCTCTCCGGGATGAGTCTAGTTGCTTCAAAGTTACCCTTAGCAATGGCTGTGTGCGACCAAATATGGTCGTCGTTAGAAGAGGAAGAGACGGCGTGATGAGGGTCTCTGTTGTAGTGTCTTTGTAGTGAAGCCCAGTGCAACAGTGATCCATCTTGGGAGCAGGAAATTAGATTATCAGGATACAGTGAATGGAATCGAGACTCCCAAACTAGAAGGAAAAGGAAGGAGAGAGAGAGAGAGAGAGAGGCAGGAAGAGAGAGAGAGGGAGGGGGACAGAGTGAGGGAGAAATAGAGAGAGAGAGAGAGAGGGAGTACAAAATAAATTAATAAAAGAGAAAGATGAAAGAGTGAGACACCCACACACACACACAGTTTATTGGATGTGTAATACGAGACACATCAATTAGAACATACACATATGTTCATGGCACTAAATCAAATTTAGATAAACAGAATTACTAGCAGTCATGAGAAACAACCATACTGTATAAGGAATGGAGCAATAGTAATCATGGTATGCATAGTACAACAGTGTAATAGTACCATGTGAAAATGGTGTAGTATAGATTAGTAATCAACAAGTGTATTAATAATAATTTTCATACATTAATACACAGCAGTATAATAATATAGTAGATTCAATCTACATTAGATATAGTACTATAACTTGAGTCAATGTTGAAATTATAAGGTACAGAACAGGCTGTAAAGTGGGAGGGTCAATTATGTGATATGCTATACCAACTTCATGAGAACAACACACAACAGTGTTTTGAAAGTGCATTCTAGAGCATAATGGATCTGAGGTGACCTTTACACTACACATGAAGTGACAGTTTTTGGGGGAGACAGTGTATGAAGGAGGGAAGCACCAGAAGGGACCACCTCTGTATAAACACAGAAACTTTCTTATAAAAATAATAAAGCCAGAGACCTTTATCACAAAAATAATAAAGTTAAGAGAGCAATCATAAAAGTAACAGGTGCATGTATATAAGTTGGTATAGCCTGACTGTAAAAAAGTATGAAAAATCCATACATGAAATGGTGACTATAAGATATGGTCTGACCTTCCATTGTGTGACCTTGAAGGAATGATATCGGTATCCTCTCTTGTCTGAGGTCAAGGAATCCAATGGAGCCATTATCACAACCAGCAGTGATCATGTGGGACTGGTTAGGATGATGAGAGAGACAATTAACAGACACCATAGAGCTGGAGCTACTACAAAAATAGACAGTATCATAATAGAAACAATAAATGAAATAATGATGAAATCCTCATAATTATCATAATAAAAGATACATGTACACATGTGTAAAACATAAAGACCATATTATAACTGTATAGTGTTACTAGTGTATATAAGAAAAGCAAATTTATCATGATTGAATAACAAGACATAAAGTTGTGTAGGAGGCTGATTACCACTGCTACCTATCAATATTCAATCAGCCTGTATTGCTAAATAACAGAGTCTGTTATGAGTGGGCAGGTGTCGTTGTGTACATATAAACTGTGATGTGCTTTGATTATATAATTAGAATTTGATTTTGTAGCTATAGTTTTATACACATAATTACATTCTCTAGCGTACGTGTGCGTGTACATACGAAGAAGGTGGCAGTATGTGTGGGAAGGCTGAATGTTTCTATTGCCACTAATTGACTGCATGCCTGAAAATGATGCATCGTAGTCTATAACATGCCAGGAATGTGTAGGCTAGCCATTTGATGTTCATCAATAGCTGTATACGATATGCCTCCTCTATTGTCTCAAGGTTGTTGTAGAGATATGCGGTCGGGGGAAAATGTATACGCGATTACGCGTCTTGTTACAAATAATTGGGCAATGTTGGGAGGATAGTAATACAATACTTGCAATAAAAAAGGCAATGTGGGGTAGAGTAATAAAACACAAGGAGCATTAAATAATTACACAGTACATACTCATTACGTAACAATTTGTCTTACATGCTATGGGAAATATTTTTTTGATATATTTCTCTCGATTTCGTCAGAAGCAGGTGGCGAATCACAACAATTATGGGAATACACATGAACGCAATAGCCCAAAGAATGTTGAAATTGTAAATAAAAAGAATCATTCGAATTTGGCACAAGAATTCTGCATACCATAGGCAGTGTATAGTATTATATGTAGAGACACAAAATATATCAGAGACTTAAGAAGTAACTTTGTAGCACTAATGGTACTCTTTAGAAAAAATGGTCGATCTACACTACTTATTTATAATTTATGATGATGATACAACATCGCAATTATTTGAAGTATTAGTTTGATTAAAAGTAAAAATGACCGATTGAAACAGTAGCCTTTGTTTAACGTAAACACCTGATTTTCATGGAGACAATATTCTTTAACTTAATCAAGCCACAAATGCAGACAATAGTGCACATGAAGACACACAATACGAGCAACAAAATTCAGAGAATGATATTAAAATACGGAAGGGAAGGGTACATTACCCAACTATTAAATAGGAATCACAAGTATGAGAACACACTTGATCATATGCTAATATGATATCCTTGGGGAATGACAATTCTTAGAAATGAGAGAGAGAGAGTTTGTGTAGAGATCATAATAGCCACAAACAATGGGCAGAGTTTGTTTGTGTAGCTGCAGACTAGCAGTTTTATGCTGTTGACAAAGGGAGAGGGAGACAATGAGGGGGCATTGTTTCTAATCATAATAATAATAGGATAATCATAATATGCACAATGTACATACAGGAACAGAGTACTATGACACTATGTAGCTCTCATGAATAAATACATAAATACCATAATACACTTCATTATGCAAAGACAATACACATACACGTATCCTACACATGGACAGAGAAACAAGGAATTACTGGTAATTGTTCTAATCAATAGTAAATGGTATAAGTACAACATTATGAGTATGTGTAGAGGGACATTGGGTAATTATAAAGGAATGGTGTTGTCCCCCCATTCTTGCATTGGGGGACTGATTATATAATTGTTGAGTGGATAAACTTTATTGGCAAAGACTGAAGCTATATTTACATTAAATAATGACAGACATTTGCTTCATTACGTGTGTGTGTGTTTGTGTGTGTGTGTTTGTGTGTGTGTGTGTGTGCAAATATCTCAAGGGTTGACTACATGTACATGTATGTAGAGTGCAGCATATATTAGGATATGTACATGTACATGTACACAAAACAATTTTCACGTGTTAGTACCAAACTGTACTGTATTAGATGTTAACTCAAGAGACAATTTTCACAATCAGTAAGAAAAACAAACGATTTATAAATTAATGATACTAAAGTCCATTTGTGTTCACCTGAGCCCTTGTTTTCTTGCAATAACTTTTGACTTACAAGTTCTATTGTAAAAAATAAACATACCAGTGCATTCCTCTCCTTTTGCAGCATCTATTGTACTACTTAAGAAGCAGCTGTAGCTCTTTAACTCCAAGCTGGTTGTATAACCAATGCAGAAAGTACAGCTATACTTTTCACAATATTAGTGCATTGTGTTAATTATTGGGTGGGGTTTCTAATCACTTCCTGGGCTCAGGTGAATTCAAATGGACTTTAATATTGTACCACTGGGTACTTTAAAAATCAATATTTTGCAGGAACAAGAAATAGTAACTTTGGTATAAAAACAAGACAAGTTAAAATTACTATAGCCACGGGCAAATGTGTTTGTGTGTCAATTTACTAAGAATGCAATAAATAGGAAGTAAATGAATGAATGAATAAACAGACACAGCAACTGTATGTCTGTGTGTGTTGCTGTCCATACCAGGTATCATTAGTAGAATATTTACAATTGCATTTCACTCATGCTTACATGGGGAATGTCTTAGCAGGTGCAGTAGAGCTGGCTCTAAGGTCCCAGAGCTTTAGCTGTCCGCTCAAATTAGCAGCCAAAACCTCGGAATGATAATAACTGATCAAGGATGTGATTGACGTGCTGTCTTTGTCATCTGCAATAAAAGGAATAATGTATTGATATGTAATTGGTAGTAATAGGTGCTGGTATTAGTTATGATTATAGTCATTGGCAACAAGGAAATATGTTGTAACAGCAATAGTACTAACTACAACTAATATTATTAGTAATTAGACAAAGAGTAGCAAATCAATAATATTGTGAGAGTAAATTTTGTATACTAGATTACTAATAATAATCAGGCTCATTACAATGTATCTCAACCCTCCTATAATCATCAAAAATAGGAGAAATTCTCTGATGCTTAAAATGTATAGTTACATTAGAGCTGATTCCAATCAAAACTGAAGTTGCTTCGAAATCTGTACTTCCCTTGTATAATGTTGACTGAACATTTTCAGAATTTTACACAATACATTGATTACTGCTAAACCAGTAATAGGAGTCAATCATAGTAATTCCCCCATCAAACAATTTCCTGTACAAAACCTTGCAGCAATATGATTATTACACAATACCACACAAATTTCATGTTCATGACATTTCTTGCATGACACAAAACAAAATTATATCACTACATATTATATCATAATTATGGACTAGCAAAAGTCTCTCTACTCTACTATAAACTGTACTATAAATGGAAAATGTACAGTGACTAATTACTATTACAGTAGTACAAGTAAACACTAACTCCGGTATTTTTAATTGGGGTTGATTTTGGAGCCATTTTCATGGGCACAGGGATTTTTTCAGAAAATGGCCTATTTTTAAAAGTGGCCATAACTTGAAAAATTGAAGTCAGAATTGGCTCAAACTTTCTACACAGCATAAGGACATCAATACATATCAGAAAATGTAATAAAAATTGGGGGTGAGTTTTTAGCCATTTTTCGGAAAAAACCATGGGCTATAGTACAGGGATTTTTTCAGAAAATGGCCTATTTTTAAAAGTGGCCATAACTTGAAAAATTGAAGTCGGAATCAGTTCAAACTTTCTACACAACATAAGGACATCAATATGTATCAGAAAATGTAATAAAAATTGGGGGTGAGTTTTTAGTCATTTTTCGGAAAAAACCATGGGCTATATATAGCACAGGGATTTTTTCAGAAAATGGCCTATTTTTAAAAGTGGCCATAACTTGAAAAATCAATATGCAATATGCATCAATATGCATCAGAAAATGTAATAAAAATTGGAGGTGATTTCAGAGCCCATTTTTGAAAAAACTATATGGACACAATGTGAATGCATGAATGATACAAACACATGTACATCCTTATTAGATGGCATGAACAACATGTATGCATGATGTCAACGTTATTGGCATTCATTACCAAATAGAGTTCAAATATCCACTACAGTGTTGTGCTAATACTTAATTAGGCAGATAAAACTATTATGTAGAAAAGGAAATAAAAAGACAATAGGAATGAATGGAATGTAATTAAACAAAAAGAACGCAAACTAAATAATTGAATATTAACAAAAACAATAAACAAAAAAATATTGCATTAATCCCTTGATATAAAACATAGTAGACATTTACAGAAAGGTTAACTGGATTATTTAATTATACATGTAACACGATCACTACCTCACTTAAGACCAATATACCTTAATCCTACTATTTTTAGCGTCTACTAAATTTAGCTATATTAGCGAGAGAGCTTTAAATCGCTAAATTAAACAGATGCCAAAATAATTATTATTCATTATAATGGTTATTATTTATAGTTAATTTGGTTAAAAATGCTAAAATTAGTAACGCTAAACATGACTTTTGCTGATTTCGCTAAAATTAGTCGACGCAAATAATAGTAGGTTTAAGCTATGCAAAGTCCCACAGTACAATTTATGACAGTAGAATCCTTACCTATAAAGCTCGATGGTGTGGGCTTATCAAGTCTCAGTACAGCAATCCTCCCATCCTCTCCAGCAGTTAGTACAGTGTCATCATTAGTCAGTGAATAGTGAGTTATGCTAGTAACAGGAACTGGACTAGCATTACTGCAGTGAACGCCTTTCCATTCATACGCTGGACACAGAGTCTAGTAACAAAGATATTAGTTTAGTTTCAAAGTCTCACTAAATTATGAATATGTCAACTTTTGTAAATCGCTGAGGGCTATAGCAAGAGCACATACATAATGGTTTGATTGACTTCAAAAAAGGAAACATTACAAAAAATTTTGAAAAATGAATACCGTATAGCGGGTATATTTCATCTGGGAAAATGTTCATTCTAGAAATTTTCGTTCGTTTTATTTTCATTCTGAGCAGCCATTTTACACACATGGCATTGAGGAAACACCCTGAAAATGTTCGTTCCACTAGGAATGAGAACAAAAAGAACGAAATTAAACTCGAACGGAATATACCCGCTATACGGTACATTATATGCAGTCAAAAAGATAACCACCCACACATTTAATTATCTTACGTTATCTTCATTCTTTATTACAGAGACTGAGCCATTGGATAATGCGACCAATAAGTATCTCCTGTCAATAAACAAAAGGTCAGTCACATCGCCAGACACTGAGCAGGAGGAAACCTCATTCGGTTCATTAAATGACCCAGTGCTATCATCAAGACTGTAGTTATACAGACGAACCTTATTAACCTAAACAAAATACAGAAAATGGACTCATTTTCTTTGCAAATATTTTTCCAAAAATGGAATTGGTGAGTTTATATTGGTAGGCAGCCCATGTGCCATATATATAGTATGCAATGAAATGGTGGATTTTATGAAACTTACTCCAGAAATACCAACAAAGATACTTCCTCCTAACCTAGTCTGTAAGGATTACTATGGCCAAGAGTACATAATATCTAATGGCTCATAAGCTTAAAGGCAGGCATTTATGTTAATTGGATTTCAAATTTTGATAATGAAAGATCTAATGGATAGCCCTTAGCCTAGGCTTAGCCCTTACCTTGTCATCATAGCTTCCTGTAACAAACCGAGTCCCTCTCTCTATGCTCTCAACAGGTTCCCATCTTACTTTGCTAGCTTTATGACCAATATACTTCAACACTGGCTCAGACATTGAGATACACACGTGCAGTCTGTCTCAGAATGTCTGGACTGGAGGAGGAGGGAGTAATAAATTGATCTACCAGAACCACATGGCACATAAATTTTAGAGCAACTTTAAAAACTCATTAAAATCTCAAATGACATGTGTACATGTAAGTGCATATACATTATGCATCAGTAAAATTAATGTGTATATTCCATGCATTTATAATGAAGTAACAGTGCTCACTACAGTATTAGCTGTAACAGCCAGAATATAGGCATGCAATGACAGCTGCTTTGCATTTAAATCGCTATTATATTTAATCAAAAAAATTAAAAAATACTTTTTAAAATTAAAATTAGCAAAACGTTTATGAGAGTCAAGGAAGAGTCATCGTGTCTTTAAAAATCTGTTGCTTCTTGACTATTGCACGACTTGAGATTTCATCTTTATTTCAACTTGAATCTACCAAAAAATATTAAGATTTGCTATGAGTATAATAGTTACTGTTAGTACAGTCTTGTTATATTCTTCTTGTAGGTAGTGCTCTTAGCATCACTAGCAGTAGTAGCCACTAGTGATCCCAGGCAGCGCCACGTGGAGGCGGCACTACATTGCTGCCCAACCTGTAATGATAATTAACAATATATTAACACTAACTGAATGGACTTCAACTTTAAGAGGAACTCGGTCTTAACAAAGAAAGGTTAATACATGACAATACTGATGCTACACTGTAAGATCTTTAGTCTTTCAAAAGGGACTTGGTGCTCCATTTCAAAAAATAGACATCTTAACAAAGAAAGGTTAATACATATGACACTATTGATACTATACTGTAAGATCTTTAGTCTTTCAAACAGGGACTTGGTGCTCCATTTCAAAAAATAGACATCTTAACAAAGAAAGGTTAATACATGACACTATTGATACTATACTGTAAGAGCTTTAGTCTTTCAAAAAGGGACTTGGTGCTCTTAACAAAGGAAGGTTAATACATAACAGTATTGATGCTATACTGTAATAGTCTTTCAAACAGGGACTTGGTGCTCCATCTGACACTATACTTTAACTCTTTAGTCTTTTAAACAGGAGCTTCGTGTTCATAAAAAATATTAAAATCGGCATAGATACATGCAATTACAATTTAAAAGAATTATCTTTTAAAAAAAGATTAAAACTAGTATAGTAAATCTCTTGCTTCAGTCTTGAGTATTATTCCTGTTGATATTTTATCTCTATTTCTGCTTGATCCTATCAATGATAATATTAAAATCCTGATGGATACTTATCTTTAGTATTTTATATTCTCCTTGAATGCAGTGCTCTTAGCATCACTAGCAGTAGTAACCACTAGTCATCCCAGGCAGCGCCACGTGGAGGCGAAACTACATTGCTGCCCAAAAATTATAAAAACCTGGGGCCCCAGGTAAAAAAATACTAATAATAAATGATAATAAATAATAATAAATTTAATTATAAAAAAAATAATAATAAAATAATAACAAATCATAACACCTAGATTTATAACCTATACCTACACTATATAACCTGTTTCCTAATTTCTATACTATAACTATACCATCAATTTCTACTATACAATACCTACACCATAACCTAATATAACTATACCTGCTTCCTAATTTCTACTATAATACCTACACTATACCTATAACTACCTTCTAATTTCTACACTATAACCTATATCCTAGGTATAACTAGCTACCTGCTTCCTATAATTTCTATTATACCTACACTACACTATATAACCGTATACCTAACACTATATGTTTCCTAATTTCTACTACTAAACCTACACTATATAACCTGTACCCTTCTAATTTCTACTACTATACCTATGACCTTTAAATGACACAATGATACCTACGTGTATACATGTATACCATAATAACCTTGCTATAAAAGTACATTCTCAAAACTACACTGTCCTACCTACATTGACCCTAACAGAACCAGTAAGGGATTAGGTATTACTAGCTGGAGGCAGTTCCAACTAGCAATACAATAATACAATAACAACTTGCTCCTAAATCTCCTTAATGCTATACTCCAACACACAAGAGGACCTAGCTCTCCAATTTGGACTTGTACAAGGACATCAAAGACTTCAAAAAGACATCAAAGACTTTAAAAACCAAAGACTTGACAAGGACTTGAAACCCATTACCTTTACAGCTCCTATGAATCAAGTAAAAACAAGTTAGCACGTTAATCTCCCAAATATACTCCTTCCCTAGCTCCCTCTCCTCTCTCAATAACCAACTCATGATTTAGTGATATACTGCTGTTCCTCAGCTCCTCCTCTCTCTCTCCCTCCCTCTCTAAGATGCTCTTGTCTTCAGGCTTTCTTCTTTGAATCCCCTACTAGCTGTCCCTCACTCTCTCCCTCCCTCTCTCTCTCTCTCTCTCTGAAAGGCTAATGTCTTCAATAGGCCCAAGGAGCTATAGCTAGAGGAAGGAAGCAGCAATATAATTATATTGAAGTACATGTACTAGACTATTTAATTGTACATGTACTGTACTATTTAATTATTTAAGTGTACATGTACCATCATTAGTTAATTACATGTACTTATTTATTAATTATAGTATTTTAATTACATGTACTATTATTAATTATGAGTACAAGTACAAACTATTTAAGAGGAAAGGTAGCATTGGAGTATTAGAAATAAGAAGGGAAGAAGGGAATTAAGAAAAGAGGAATAAAGGAAAGATAGAAAAGGAGGAGGAGAAGAATAGTTTAGTTCATGATTCGGTAGCTTTTTATTCTCTTGTTAAAAGAACTGATTGTTAGAGCAGGTAGCCTGGAGAATTACTCGAAGAAATGATTGAAGAATGTTGTAGTGTATAGCTGATAAAGTAGACAGATTGTAGAGCTACGGAATCAGCAATTAGATGAAGAATTAATCGATTGAAGAGTGTTGTAAGCTACAGAATCAGCAATTAGATGGAGAATTGGTTGATTGTAGTGTAGAACTGGTAATCCAAATGTTCTTGACAAGCTCTCAGGACAAGGACATGAAGTGAAGGACTGAATTATTTTATGCAAGATGGTGAACAATACTTCCATAAAGATAATGATGTGCAAAAGAAGTTGAAATCTTCTGCCAAGCCTCCCCCTCCCTCTCTTTCTCTCTCAAAAATTGATGATAAGCAATCACACAAATCTCTCAGTTTAACTCTCTGTCTCAATACATTGAAGGCATTCCATTGACTGCTGATAGTTTCATGCAGATATTCTTAATAGATTTAATCATTGTGGTTATTAAATTAAAGCTGAGTTTTAGTTACATGTATAATGCATATACAGGCTCATTACAAGTACTTCAAATTAATTATATTTTACGTCTATTTTGTTACAATACCTCTCTCTTTCTCTCTAAAGGAGGATCTCTTTCTCTCTAAAAAAGAACTTCTCTTTCTCTCAAAAGAAGCTGTAGATTGTAAACGATGATGTTCATTTTCAAGCACGCTCCTTCATACTGGAACACTGGAACATTTCATAGTGGAACACTGGAACACTTCATACTGAAACACTGGAACACTTTACTGGAACACTGGAACACTTCGTATTGAAAGAAGAGAAGCATCTGCTGCCAATCAGCTACAGATAAACAAACAATGAATAGCAAGAAAACAGGAGCCATGCCTGATAATTGTACTAGACACTGCTAATCAGCTCTCCCTAGATCCAATGTTATCACAACCAATGTGACCATGTTTCCCTCCTTAATATTTTAAAGGCTCATATGTCTTGAAATTAAATGGAGGATGCTCATCTGCTCCATTTATGCTCAATGCAAAAAAATATTTCCAAGTTTCATGTTATTTTTACATTCTACTTCGAATTTTTTGTCAGGCTTCAATATCCTAGTGGGCCAATTGGGTATTGCTATTCTCATCACTCATGCAACACATATCACTCATCACACATATTGACAGTTAATTAAAAGCTTTGTTTTATAATTTTAGATTATATAAAAAGCTGAGTTTTAGTTTAAATTAAAGGCTGAGTTTTAGTTACATTACAATTAAGTACTACAAATTATCTACAATTATATCTAGTTTGTTACAATACCCTCTCTCTTTCTCGCCCAAAAAGAATCTCTTTTCTCTATATAAAAAGAATCTCTTTCTCTCTAAAAAGAACTCTCTCTCTCAAAAATTAGTTACTGCTTATCAGCTCTCCCTAGATTCATTGTACAGTACTGTATAGTGGTTTTTTGAGGATGCTCATCTGCTTCATTTATGCTCAATGCACAAAATATTTCCAAAGTTTCATATTAATCTTTTCTTTTTACTTTAAATTTTGAGTCCTGTTTAATATGCTATAAATTAGGCTTTTAGTTTTTCATTTACTGTTAGTCATAATGATGCATTATGAGGAGTAATTATTTCTTAATTTTAAATTTTTGAATTTTAGTCTGATCCCAATACTCTCTTTCCCTCTAAAAAAGCATCCCTTTCTCTCAAAAGAGCTGATTCCATTAGATTTTGAATGATGAGTGATGACTGTATCACTAATTTTAGTTGCTTTCTGCTCTCCAAAATCCTCTCCATAGGGCCTTGTGTAGTCTTCATTTGTGCCCACCTTGTTAACTGCAAAAATGAGTGTAGCATCCAAACGATGGTCAAAGGAAAGCCAGAAGAAGCTTAGTAATATAAATGAAATGGATTGAAGGAAGGCCAGTCCATGTCCCATTATTGTGAGCCATCATGTGATTGTAAATCTGCTACAAGTTCACAAGTAATCCCTCCCCATAATAAAGTATTCTGCCAAACTTTTTCCCTCTCTCTCTCTCTTTTGTAAAATTAATTTTAGCTAAGTTTCAACCCTCTTTCTCTCACTGTCACTCCTCTCTCACTCAATTTAAGGAAAGGTAGCATTAGAGTATTAGAAATAAAAGGAGAATTAAGAAAAGAGGAACGAAGAAAAGACAGAAAGGAAAGAGGAGAAAAGATATCTGACCCTGAGTAATCCTGGAGAAGATCAATGGTAGACAATGAAAGGCTATTATCTTCATTTAAAAATATTACCATTATTACCTACAGCGACAAGAAGGCATGCTGTATTTTGGCAGCTACCTGACCTCTCTTGAACGCTGCAAACAGCAGTCAGTTTTGACTAACTGTTGACTGACCTGACACACACATACATACACTAGATTAGCAATACATGAATAAGTCCTACATCTCGCACACACCAGGCAACATGTCTCCAGTAACATTTGGTAGTTTGACCTTGTGAGCATAAGATGCTGCCAAGAATGGAAAGCTGGTCATTACAGTAGACACTAATGGAGGGTGGGTACAACCCCCCACTAATGCGTTACTGCAACACCCAGCTTTCCATTCTTGACAGCATCTTGCTCACAAGGTCAACAGATATTACTAAACACACATTTCCTAGTGTATGACAGGACAAGCTATACAAGCGTATCAGGCCAGTCGGTAATAACAGGGAATGTACCTACACTACAGGGTTCTTTACATTAATACATACGCGTGATGTTTCGTGTAACCGGCCCCTCCCTAATGGTATTATACGCATGCACATGGGGACATACATATAATGACATGCAAGGATTGTATGAGTGCGTTACTAGCCAGGTCTGGTCGGCCAGCCCAGCTAGCAGTACAACTATTGACTTGCAGCCTTGCTGATTGATCCATGAGAATCCATACCAACGACCCCATCAATCCATGACATGCTACCAGTCCAAGACAGACATCCAGTTTCACGATAATAAAGGACTTCTTAATCCAACTTGACAATTACAGCTCCTGAAATGAAATAAGAGCAAGTTAACATATGCAGTACAATATACACAGAGTACATGATACACACTAAAGAACAGTAGCTACAATACACTATAAAAACAACTAAACAAGAGGCTATGCAGACAAGTGTCTCAAGATGCATCAAAGGCAAATCCTCACTTGTTTCCTCTTCACTTGTCGAATCTTTCTCGTTAGATGTATCTGGCCCATTTATTCCATTTGTGGGCGTGGCTTCAAAAAATGGCGGGAAACTCAAACATCAGGTAAGTTTGTGGCTGGGCGTTAGCCTGAGACTGCTAACCTGTATGGGAAAAAATGAGTAAAAATAATAATGAGAATTAAAATGAGCTAGAAGCAAATGAGGAGGGAGAAAGAGAGGCTACTAACCACAGCAGAAAGAGGTCATAATCTCCTGTGACCTTTAGAAAAGGCAGGGACTAAAAACTAACTGCTGTTAACCTGTATAAAAAAGAAAGATATAAAATAAGGAAATCATGTGGTTGAAAGAGAGGAGAGAGAGAGAGAGGAAGGAGAGAGGCTGTGGCCATGACTAACCATAGCAGCCATTGAAGAAAGAGGTCACAACCCACCATAACCTTTTACAGAAAGACTGAAGGAGCTGGCCACTGCTAATAACCTGTAAGGAAAAAAGAAAGGGAGATATCAATGGAGGAATTGCTGAAATAAGAAGGAAAGAAGACAGAAGCAAGCCATGTGGCCATGACTAACTGTAGCAGAGAGAGTCCTTCCTTTCCCGCCCAAAGAAACGTCAGAAATGAGTAGAAGAGGAAGTGTGGCTCCCTATATAGCCACTGGGTTTTGGCGGGAAGAGCCCTGTGTGGATGAATCTGATTGGTCATGAAAAGGTTACACCACGTGGAGACTAGCTATTGCACCACTGACCTCAGGTATTGCCCAATCAGAGGAAAAATAAATTTTAAGGTGTACTAATTAAGTGATGTAGGTGTAGTACTTTTTACAACATTTAAAATCAATTCAAATTTTGATGGGAATCCACTCAAACTTTCTACACAACATAAAAACATGTGTTTGTATTGCCTAGCAAAAATAAAAATAAAATAATCAGCCTCAAGCTCAATTATATCATTCATTATAACAAAATAATACAAATTAAAGGCTACATGAAGAGAGAAATATAACCAGAGGAAAGAGAAGCATCATCTTCCAGGTCAAGCAAAGGTTCAAAATTCTCCTCTAGTGATAACAAAGGCTATTGGAAAAAGAGAATTAATGAATATTAGTCTGAGTATATACACTTAATGTGTGTGCATGTACTAATCTTAAATTATGTAGCTATAGGGGTCTTCGATAACACATCCAATCTTTAAGGACTACATTCTGCCTTTATAAAGCATGCAATAGTAAAAGTCTATTGTGGGTTGTACTATAATGATATTTATTACATGCATTAAGCACAACAATACATGTACAACAGTATCAGGAAATAAGACACACAACATAACATGTACATGTATCAGAAAATGGAGAATTCTCTTGCAGTCATTTTTGGCCAATAACCATTTTGCCCAATTTTTTGCTTTATTTTTAAAATTCTTAAAAAATCAATTTTGATTAGAATTAGCTCAAACTTGCTACACAACATAAGAACATGTATGTGGATTGGGAAAAAATTATAAAAATTTAAAATTTTCTCCTAATCATTTTTGGCAAAATACTGTCAAATTTCGGAGAAACTTTACCACTGATAAGACCCCGTATGAGCACTATATGCCAAAATCCTGTGGTACTGAATATCTCAGATTACCTGTTCAGGTACTGTATTTATGACAGATGTTAATATAATTCTCCTTTATACATCTGCAAGGAGCATAGCCAGTAATACTACAAAGTGGTACACAGTAAAGTGTAGTGTAAGTGCTGGTGCTAAATACCACTGGTGAGTCCAGTCCATGCCTTCAGTGACCTTCAAAACAAAAATATAAAATGCAACAATAATTTTCATCATTTTTTAGACTTAAAGTTTTATTCCTGATCAGTTTGAGCATGCAGAAGATGCTCGTTATTGCGAGCCACTCCTCCCTACCGTCACATGACAACGCACACCCCCATAACGCCTTTTTTGACCGGATATGTCTCCACGCTTCATGATCTCTCTAGTTAATACGAGAGTTAATATGCTCTACTAGTGACCTTTAAAAATAATAAAAGCTGCAAGAGAGAATAGATCGAAGAATAGATACACCTAGCTTCGATAACCTATGTCTGTAACAGCAACTACAATGTCCTCTGAGGTTAACAACCAACCAGTGCAGGCTCCTCTGCAGATGCGGGCCCTTGTCCCCCCTCCCGGAGCTATTCCTAAGCAAGTTAACTTTGTACTCGGAGGAATGGCAGGGTAATCCATAATGAACAATTACTACAGTCTGGGTATGCTTTATTGTTATTATAGTGTTGGTGCTGTATTCTTTACTCAACCACTGGATCTTCTCAAGAACAGGATGCAGATTAGTGGTGAGTATTATTATAAACCAGACTGTACATATAGTTAAGGAATATTGAATCTAGAATGCTTCTCAAAAATTTACCATAGCAACCTGTGCTTATGTTGCCATTCATAAGGTGTTTGTTTCACTTGCTCCTTTTCGTGTTAAGTGGTATTAATAATAATTGTCGATACTTTACAGGTGAAGGTGGTAAAATACGTGACCATAAAACTTCGTTGCATGCTGTCTCAAGAGTTCTAAGGAATGAAGGAATATTTGGACTGTACAATGGGTAAGTATACAGTTTATTTTGTGGCTGCTGTGACTATGATAACTCAAATTAAATCAGGTTATCTGCTGGAATTTTAAGACAAGCTTCATACAGTACATGCAGACTAGGAATATATCAAGCACTTTTTGACAAGTTTACAAGGTTAGCTCATTGCAACTTACACCGTTGAATTGTAGTCAGTTTTATATTAGTATTGAATAATAATTGGTTGGAATGGCAACATTGCTAATTAAGTGTTGTGTTGCCAAATTCAATGCTTTGTTAGCTCGACTTAGTTGGCATTAAGTATTTTGTTGAGCTCAGTTATTATATTTTTATGCCAATTGTTTATGTGCGATCATACTTTGTAGATATTTCTATGCAAAACTCAATGACTTCAAATCCTTTAAACGAATTTAGCACAAAATTAATACTATGCTGTACTTTATACCATGCTGTACTTTATACCATGCCAATGTAGTACAAGTATTATCCAGTACACTACATGTATAATCCTACTATTACTTTCATTATAATCTACACACTATGACTGCCATTGCCAAACATGGAATTCATGAAATCATATATTTCATGTCATGTGCTTTTCTGTGTATACTGTCAAGCTATATATATCATTTCTCTGACCTCTATTATATTAATCATGCTACATGTTCTTCCTGTCCTGTTTTATGTTTACCCTGGATAGATGACTTTATAAGTATATCATGCTTCCTGTGTTATCTCTTATTTGTGGTGTAACAATTTTAATTGATCTCACATGCTCTTTTTTATTATACATGTAGTTCTGATGGTACACCACCAGGAATACTGCAAAAGTTATTGTTAGGTGAGTGAGTGATCATGAGAGAGATAGAGAGTGGGTTCTGAAGCCATTGTAATGTGAAGCATAGTAAACTTTACTATTATGCTTCACTATAAATGCAGCTTTGTATAGCTACTCTCAAGTAATAGATTTATAGTGCAATTACTTTTTTATTATAATTATAGCAAAATTCTTGACCATCTTATAATTCAGCTCTATCTGTTATTTTAATAGGCATGACTGCTGGCGGCTCTGCTGCTATTATTGGCAATCCAACTGAAGTTGCACTCGTTCGAATGACACTGGATGGAAGGTGTGATACTAACACTTGATTGCCTGATTCATTATTATGACACTCTTTATAGACTGCCTGTTGGAGAGAGAAGAGGATATAGCAATGCATTAAATGCAATTTACAGGATTAGCCGAGAGGAAGGAATAAGAACACTCTGGAGGGTATGTGAATCAGTTAATATCAGCATTATTGGGAGGATCTCATGAAAAATGCATGAGAAGTATTGAATTATACTCTTGTTGTTTACATAGGGCTGTGCTCCAACTGTAATGCGTGCTATGGTAGTCAATGCAGCTCAATTGGCCACATATTCGCAGGCAAAACAGTTTCTCCTTTCAACATGTAAGTATGCGGCGTAAAAAGTGTGGAGGTCATGGTTTTTATATTTGCTTGTCTTTTTTAGCTTATTTCGGTGATAACATCAAGTGTCATTTTGTTGCTAGCATGATAAGTGGATTAGTTACGACAGCTACTTCGCTCCCAGTAGACATCACTAAAACGAGGTAAAGAAATCATAATTTTAAAAAATATTCAATTATCTTTGATTAGAATACAAAATATGAAGTATGTTAATGGTGTACCTGAATACAAAGGTGTTCTTGATGTTGTTGTTAAATTGGTCCGTAATGAAGGAATCTTTAGCCTGTGGAAAGGATTCACTCCATATTATGCTCGACTGGGCCCACACACTGTACTGATATTTATATTTTGGGAAAGACTCAAGATACTGTATTATACCAATCTCATGAAGCAGCAGCAAAATTAGTACATGATATATCCTACAATTGCTACTGTACTATTATTGTAATTATTTTTATTTCCAGCAGTGATTATATATATAGGCATCAATTTTAACTTATATCAATCATTTTAAATACATGTATTATTATCATCATTATTATTATCTATTATTATTATTATTATTATTATTATTATTATTATTATTATTATTATTATTGTTATTATTATTATTATTATGAGAATCAGGGCAAGCAGTGACCTTTCTAGGGTAGTTTTGTCTTGAAGTAGCATGTAAAGTAATGGCAAATGTTAATGCATGTTATTGACCCATGAAGTCACTAAAGTTTAAGGTGCAGACTATCATAACTATTAGAGTAATCATGAGGTTATGTACTCTTGTCAGGTTGACTCATTAATTATTTTTGGTCCCGCCTAGCTACTTTGTCCTAATACCACGCCCACCAACTTTAATTTGATAATTTCCGGAGTTGTGCAAAATGGCTGACACGAAGGACCTTCTCGAGCTCCTCGAAAGGAGGATTCCCGATGCTAGGAAAGCATTAAGGGACAGTCACAAGAACCTAGAAGGGCTAGCGAATTATTGTGAAACCAATTATGTGGAATCTGGACAGACTAGCCAGTTCTTGGAAGAGACAAAGCAATACACGGCACAGTCCTTGGCTAGTGTCGCCTATCAGGTTAATATACTCGCCACGGGAATGCTTGAACTTCTCGACGCTCAAATGAAGCACATGAATGACATGGAGTCTAACGTTAGGCATATATCCCAGGTAAACAACCGATACATGTAAATTAACAAGTAAATTACATGTACGTGTACATTAGCCCCCAAAAAGCCTCCCATGTTTATTGGTCAAATGTATCGTGTTTTAACTGTAAAGACTTAAAGCTGGAACAATTATATGCATCCTACAAAGTTACGAGGGAAAGACTAACATTAGTTTGTTTTAAAAGAATTCCTTATTTGTAAAAGTATGCAAAGATGTACAGTACATATCATGATGAGTAGATGTCATGATAGTAAATGAACCTGCGTATATTGTGTGTTTTAATAGTTGGTATTATTTTTTCATTATGTGTGCATCTCTAATTAAATTATTTAAAGTGTCCTTGCTGTTACTCGCTTACCTACTGGCTTGATATCCACCTCAATCACTCTACTAAACACGACTTACCAAATATGACACCCACTCTTAATGTACCAGCTATCTTTCAGTGTTATAGTAATTGTTCTATAGTCATCATTGAATGGTGGACACATTGTTCTATTTATAGTGTCATATAAACTATCAAATAGTGCTAGTTGTGTCACTTGAAATAATTTACTTATATCATTTTGTTATTAGAAATTGTTATGCTCTTATAAGAGCTAAATTGTATTTGCAAATATTAAATTAAGTCTGTTATGTCATGCCCTCCCTCCCTCTTCTAATAGGCTGTGGATATTCACAAAGAGAAAGTTGCCAGGCGTGAGATTGGTATGCTGGCTACCAGCAAGAACATCACAAGGACTCAAAAGGTCGTGACTCCATCTCAGAAGGAGAAGCCACAGAAATACGTGAGGAATAAATTGGACTTCAATAGTTTGGATCACATTGGTCACGGAGTGAGGGTATCTGCTACTGATTTACCGAGGAAGTTCTCCAGTGTGCAGTCTGAGGTAAGAGTTTTAATTATACATGCATGTACATGTACATGTACAGAGTTAAGAGTTTTAGAGAGAGAGAGTTGTATGTAGCAGTTACCACGTTGCATATTGTTTTATACTTGTTTTCTGATAGTCACCAGTAACCTTGAAGAGACCTGGTCCAGTTCCATCATCAGGTCCTGTTGTACCTCCTCCCTCTCAGCCACAAGCAGGTCACTATGTGTTTAATGTGCATGTACATGTACATCAGGTCATGTGTATATACACCTTTTGTATGTGTACAATTCGTGTTTATGATCTGCTAATGGGTACATATACATGTACATGTAGGTTGATTTAACTTTTAATATGTACATGTATGTGCATGTCTATCTTTATAATGTACATGTTCCAGATTATGATAGCTCTAAATGTTGTTTTTATTTCTATAGTTGCTCCACCATCTGTCCCCACTGGTCCAACAGTTGTTGCTCCTCCCACATTTCCTAGTGGTCCAACTGCAGTTGCTCCTCCCACTGCTCCTGTTGGTCCTACAGTTGTAGCTCCTCCTACCTTTCCAGGTGGTCCTGCTCCTGTTCCTCCGCCCACATTCCCTGGTGATATGGGTGGTCCGTTATATTCTAATGTTCCTGGAGCTCCTCCCCCTCCTCCTCCTCCTGAAGTATCAGGAATGGCTCCTCCACCCCCACCAGTAGCGCCAGTAGCTCCTCCTCCTCCTAGTGATGGTCTTTATGATACACTGCAAGCAGTTCAAGCTCCTCCTCCTCCACCTCCTCCACCAGCTGCTGGTATGAGATATTATAGTGTATGGTTGTACTGATACTGTTGTATAGTTGTAATATGATAGTAATTGAAAACAAAGAGATCTATTGTTGTACTAATAATAATAGGAATAGAAATTTCTTTATATTTATTTAAAGTTTAAACATACATGTACATGTAAATGCATGTGTAGAATAAATGTTTCTTTATTATTTTTTCCTTGTACTTATAGTACCACCTCCTCCAGCTGCTCCAACTCCCCCTCCACCACCACAGGCTGTACCATCCCCTCCCCCTCCTCCTCCTACCCCACCTACCAGTGCTACCCCTCCCCCACCACCCCCGGCTAATATTCCTCCTCCTCCTCCTGCCCCACCTGCTGGAGTACCCTCTCCACCACCTCCTCCCCCTCCTCCTCCACCCGGAGCCGGAGGAGTACCTCCCCCTCCTCCCCCTGGAGCTGGTGTCCCTCCTCCTCCTCCTCCTCCCCCCGGAGCTGGAGGGGCTCCTCCTCCACCGGCTGCTGGTGGACCCCCTCCTCCTCCTCCTCCTCCTGGTGGACGTAAGTTTTATGTATGTACATGTACAATAGTACAGTCCATTGATGTACAGTACGTTTACAATATAATGATATTAAGCTCAGATTATTGCCAGCAATAATTGCACAAAATACCCTGTACTACAAATTGCTAGGAGAGAGAATTAAGCATTTTTATAATTTTTCCTGATACATGTACATGTACATGTAGGACATGTACATGTATGCATGTCCTTTTTTGTTAACTGATTCTGATCAAAGTTTGATTTTTTATGAATTTTTAATATACTCCAAAATCAGGCTAAAGTCCCTGTACTATAAGTACAGGGTATTTGTCAAAAATCAATGAGAGAGAATTCTTCATTTTATGACTTTAAAGAAAATTTTTATTGCTTTATTATTATTATTACTGTAGCTGGTGCTCCTCCCCCTCCTCCTCCTCCCCCTCCCCCTCCTCCTGCTGGTCTCTCTGGTATTAAGAAAGCAGCTGCGTCCAGTTCACCAAAGCCTCCTCCCCCTAAGGCTACGCCACCTCCAAGCTCGGGTGGTGGGGGAATGTTTGGATTTGATCCATCTAAAATAGTCCTTAAGAAAACAGGTTTGTACATTCATAATATTTGCATGTACATCTATTTTTGTAAATTTAATTGCATTTTGAATATGCATGTAAGAACTTGCTCTCCTGATATTTAGATCACAACTTTTGAGCATCTGCTTAATTAGAATCTCTGAGTTTATTAAAATACATGTATGCCAATTCTTGAGACTAGTACAGTGTACTACATGCATGTACAAAGAATTCGCTACAGTAATACAACATGTACATGTACATATCTTATTTTGCTATTCATGCTACATAGGAAGTAAGTTTGCTGGCACTAAAGGTGATGATTCCAATAAGGAGCCTCCTAAAGTGGCTCCCTCTCCTAAAGTGAAGCCAAAGCCAGCTCGTGCTGGTTCCATATCCAAGCAGCCATCAAGCCCCTCGATGGGATCTGTTGCTGCTGCCTCTACTCCTCCACCTCCTCCTCCTCCTGCCCCACCTACACCTTCAGGTTTGATGCTAAATAAATGTGAAACAATGATACACATACACGTAGTTAATATCATTCAATGTGTGGACAGAAAAGTTATGCTGATTTTCTACGATATATTTTGTGCTAGCTATATTATATGTGTATGTGTCTTAATTTAAAATTTTGAGGCTTTTCTGCATTTTTTGCTCTTCATTTTGTGTTACTTTGTTTCATTTTATAGATGGTGGTGGTGGTGGTGTCCCTGCTCCTCCTCCTCCCCCACCTGCAGGTATGATTGTATATGTGATTAATATTGTTTATTTATTTATTTATTTTAGGTGGTGGCCCTCCCCCACCTCCTCCTCCTCCTCCTCCCCCTCCGGCCCCTGGACAGACTCCGCCCTGTACGTAACTCACACATAACTTACATTAATTATATCGTTAACACTGTTAGTTCTAGAAGGAGTTTAGGAGAACTATGTCTCCTGTATTATCCTATTTCTTAGCTTTTTGTATCTCGTATTCAGCCTACATGTAGTTTTCCCAATTGTAGTTAAACTGGTCTTCCAAAATTTATTTCTAGTTCTAACAGTGATGATTATCATTTTACATGTACATGTACTTGTAAATGCATTTTTATAATGAAAAATTTTATGTACAGTAGCTCTGAGCTTAGTACTATAAAAGCTATTTTTTATTTTTAATGCATTACTCCTGTTCCTTTTTATAGTTAAGAAGGCTACTCCTGCTCCAAAAGCTGCTCCTCCTCCCAAACAGCAGCAGGCTCCTTCTTTCAGTCCTGATGATATCTTACGAGTTAAACTGGGGAAGAGGAACACCAAGCAACAACCTGTTGACTTGCCACCTCCTCCTCCTCCCCCCGAGCCTGAACCACCCAAATCATCTGCTCCTAGCTGGGCACCTACTGAGTATATTGAGAAAGGTAATCCAATTACTGCATGTACTTAATCTATTCTATTTGATATAAGTCTAATGTACCCAACTACCCATTGTTATTACATTTTACGTGTACTATTATAATAATAATAATAGCATATTATTATTATTATCCTTGTTTAACTTCTGACCTTACAGTATAGCCACATACATGTACATGTAAAAGATTATAGTACTAACACTGTTGATTGATTCTTATTGTTTTTTTGTAGTTGAAGCATTGTACGACTATGTGAAGGACAAAGAAGATGAGTTGACATTTAGTGCTGGGTCTATCATTTACGTTGTGAAGAAGAATGATGATGGATGGTACGAGGGTGTGCTCGATGGCAATACTGGCTTGTTTCCTGGAAATTATGTAGATCTCCTTCAATAACTTGAGAATTATACGAAATAATTTTAAGTGTGTGTGAGTGAAATCATCATTATGATTGTTAGTAGTATTAGGAGACATTTTGTAGTCATGTTCTATGTTAAAATTAATTTTTTTTTAATACTAAAACGTTAATATCCTGCCTAAGCATAATCAGATAGAAACAGACTAAATGGTGGACTCACATGACATGTTTACACAAGGTCGAGGTGACCCCCCCTCTGTTTAGAAATTAATTATTAAAAATTAGCATATCAATTTTGAGCCGTATCGGCATAAATTAATTTTCAAATAGATAGATTCACAATATAACCGTAGCAATCAGATATAAAAATTACTGGGCAGCAAACTATTTTATTTTTCAATCTTCAGAAATTAAAGGTAAGCTAAAAAGAAAATAGTCAACATATTTTGTAGCTTTGATAATGCAAACGTTGTCACCATAAAGTATTGGAGGCTCTGTAATGACACTGTTACTAAGCAAGAGAGTAGTATTAAAGGAGCTCTTCAAGCTACCATCTTTCATTGACAATATATAGATGAACTCTCCATCAGAGTCTGAAGATACAACCAAGTTCTCATCGATATGGAGAGAAGGGCTTTGCTTGAAGAGAGTTTCAAAAGTGTACCCCTTCTCACTAAGTTGTTTACTTTTCCAGATTAACTTGCCCTTTGTATTGACTGAAAAGACACGATTTCCACAGCTATTGTAATATAATTAACATCATTTTACTACAATGGACATTATATCATAGTATGCACACTTACTTGTAATAAGCAATACCAGATGCATCAACTGATGGTCCGCTGGGATATGCTCCTTCATCACAATAGCCATGATTGCTAAACTCCAATTTCCCAGTCTTCGTATTCAACCCAAATATCAAGTCAGGATTACCAGCGAACCCATAGCTACCATAGGCAAAGCTCCCATTGACCGTGAAAGCAAATTTGGCTTCGTATGACAAGCGAAGATTTTCTTGCCAAATTGATGAGCAGTTGACTGACCCTTCATCTTCAAGACAACTGACTCCTAGTAAACTACCAGCTAGGTATGGACCGTATGGAAGATTGTAAGGAATGAGTAGCAAAACTGAATCATTCGGCAAATAAGAAATTTTCAATTGGCCATCGCAGCCACTATGCTCAAGGGATTGTGTCCATTTGAGCTTTCCTGTTGAAATATCAATAGCAGCAATTATGCTATCATTTTTATGAGGCCTTTGTTTTGCTTGCTGATCATCTAGCGATTGAACTGGATTATCTCTCCCGCAATCATACCCACTTACGACATAGACCATCTTTTTACTCATTGAAATTGATGCCGAGTCGAGAAGCTTTAGTTTTTGCGAGCGCCACACCAGTGATCCATTGGTAGCATTCAATGCAACAACCTCCCCAGCCTTTTCATGATAAGCCCCTCCAGCAGTACAGTGCCATGAGACAATGACCAGTTTGTGTTCTGAGCTGTAGAGAGTGTTTGAGAGATCAACAACGCTGCATGATTCATCCTCTCCTATCCAGTTAGCCATCCATATCTCCTTACCGCCCGGGGCAATGGCCCTTACCTGTAACCAGTATTGCGGTATTTCTAGAAATGGGATAAAGACCACGCCATCCTCTGACATGGAAGGTGAGCCATAAAAGAAGGATGCAGAGTCTTCATCACCAAGTGCAGTGTAGTTCCAGGCAATAGTGTGGTTGCTGGAGCTTATGTAGTTAGTGGAAGACGAGTCACCATATTGCTGTGTCCAACTGGCATATGAACATGCAAAGAATAATGGAAGGAAAAAGACAATAAAACTGAGATTTGGAGTGGGATTTAACATATCTATATACTTAGGGTGATGACACACCTTATAATATGTATTATTCATTGATAAAATCATGTTTTTAGTTAATATATAGAGCCTATGAGGTTACAATGGGGGCAGCTAGGGTATAAAGATATCTATCAGATATTGTCATTAAGTTCAAAAGTAAAGCATGAAATTTCTTTTCCAGCAGAAGTTGTAGCATTAATAGTAAACTTGAAATATCCCTAAAAATATCATCAATGAGCATAAAATCATCATTAGCATATTATCATTGCCTTACATGTGGAAATGGTACTCTTCCTTGAAAGACACCACTATTCATACCTCTTGATACTGGACATGTTAAACCTGCTTCTTTGAATTTGTCACACACATCATAAGAGGCAGAAAACGAGTGCAATACACCATACTGTATGTCTACGTTTACTTTTCCATCAGAGATTTCTTCATCTACATTTTCAGTCAATAAACTCTGTGGATAATTGCTAGTGAACTAACTTAGCCAGAAAGAAGCTTTAAGAGAAAACCCTTCACCAGGGCCCACATCACCAGGTGGATTAAAAGTAATGTCCTCAATCTTCATTACACTGGTATCATTTGCTTCACAAATGGATGATAACTTATGCATTAAAATAATTAGAAATCTTACTGCAGTCTTTCCAAGTGATAGGTCCACTTCCAAGAGCCACACAATCAGTCAGTATCACAATAATTAATACTGGACAGTAAAGTACCAGAATCCAAGGCCTCATATTGTTATTATAGCCACTGTTGCTGATAATACAAATTTTATCACATGATAGACAATATTCATTAAATCACAAAATTTTTTCATATATTGTCATTAAGTTCAAAAGTAAAGCATGAAATTTTGTCACCAGCAGATGTTGTAGCATTAATAGTAAACTTGAAATATCCCTAAAATTATTGAGCATTAGATAATCATAATATAAATGTACGAGGCTTGTGACTTACATTTGGAAATGGTACTCTTCCTTGAAAGACACCATTCTTCAAACCTTTTGATACCGGACATGTCAAACCTGCTTCTTTGAATTTATCACACAAGTCATACACACCAGTAGCATAATGTAAAACACCATACTGTACATCTACGTTCACCTTCCCCTCAGTGATTTCCTTCTCTTTAATTGGTGTATGCATGAGTGAGATAATATACAAATTATTAATTACCAAGAATTCATGAAGTGCTTTTGTTATTACTTAGTTTAAAGGTGGCTTTAAGGGAAAACCCTTGTCCAGGGTAGACGTCACCAGGTGGATCAAAGGTAATGTTTTTAATCTTCATGACACTGACATTATTTGCTGTATAAATTAGATCCATACAATTATAGGTTTCTAAATAGTATTGCTCTTACAGCAATCTTTCCAAGTGATAGGGCCACTTCCATCAACTGCCAAGTTCCCACTCAGAGTTATAGCTATACTAAAAGCTACAATAACAAATATTGGTATTTTCATAGTAAGCTCAGCCTATCCTTCTTGGCAACTGATGACAGCAAGGCAAAACATGTGTGCAAACATCACATGATTATCACTGTAACCATTATTCATAATTAAAATGCCATTCTAAAAAAATTTCTCCAAAAAACATTAAAACGCTGCTCAAATCAAGCACAAGCTATCAGGTTACATGAATATATCATGTTTTGCTCCATTAATTTATTGTTGTCCAACAGTTTCAGGAAAGGTCAACATTAATCTGGAGTAGCATAGTTGTTACATGTTATCACTAATGATGGATATCATCTCACCGTGATAACTATACTCATGCAGTGCAGCTACTACAGACTGATGACTGATCTGCTTTCAATTATTAAAACTCTAAACTCCATACATAATAAAATACAATTGCATGGCATTGATAATAATAATAATAATAATAATAAGAAATAATAATAATAACGAATAATATATGATACACTTTCCATTATATATAAATCTTTACAACTAAATGACAGTAAGTCATCATTATTATTATAATAATAGTTATTTTTTAAAATAATTTTTACTTGCAACAACCCCCACCATTGTCCTTTGTGTCTGATATTTTCTTTTGCTGTAGATTAACCCGACTTGAAAGCTCTTTAGGGATTTCATCCCCTTTCTTTACGCCATCCCAACCATTGCCTACCACTACAGTCCCATCTTGTATAGCCTCGAAAATCCTTCTAGCTAAAACATTAAAAATCTCTTCTACATTTTGTCCGGTACGAGACGAGGTCTCGATGTAATCGATTTTAAAGGAATTTGCAAGTCTTTCAGCATCAACTCTAAGTACTTGTCTCTGTCTGTCCAAGTCTGCCTTGTTGCCCACTAGAAGGAAGACTGGCTCATGTGGTTTTGAGGATTGTCTGACATCCTCCATCCATCCGCTGACTTTAGCAAAGGAGTTTTGATCTGATATATCAAATACTAGCAGAGCCCCGACGGCATTGCGAAAGTAGGAACGAGTGATGGCTCTGAAACGCTCCTGCCCTGCTGTGTCCCACAGCTGCAGCTTCAAATTGTGACCATCAACTTGTACCATTTTCGTGTGAAAGTCTACGCCCACTGTCGGGTCGTTATGCTCTATCCATCTCCCCTGAGTGAAGCGTCTGAGTAGACACGACTTGCCTACGGTGGATTCTCCTATTATAATGAGGCGGAACTGGTAGAGATAATGATCCACATCTGTCAATGAGCTGTTTCTCCAGCTCATCTCCTTAAGCTTAGCTCACGAACAGTCGAACACTGCGCCGTTTACCTGTGTGCATATGATCACGTGATCAGGATGGGAGTGGCTGCTATAATTCCACACCTCAATGCAAGTTGAAGAAAAATAAATGAATTGTAAATAAATCGTCTCCATCACCCTCTTGTCCCTATGCATTAGTAACAACTAAGCAAAATGTGACTGCTTTTGCAGTGCATGCTATCTCTTTTCCGCTAAACTTTAGAAGGTTGGAGATGTGCTATAGCCTATAGTTAAGAATAGATCCAGTAGTTTATATAGATTCTCAAATTACTTTATCTCAAGAGCATAAATTATTGATGTTTTGAGTTGCACAAAAATCTTTTTTGTGCAACTCTACAAAAAATACCATATCACGTGATTGGAGGTGTGATGGAGGCGGATCACGTGGTCTCCAGGTGGGAGTGGCTGTGCATCTGAGTGTAGCAATGGCCACCACTACCAAGCTTGGCACTAGTGTTAGCACTGATGATACTCTCTCCCTCCACGAGGAAGAGGATGGCTACATGGTTGATCCGGAAGAGGAGACCCTGGCTCACTTTAAGCCTATAATGAGTAAGGAGAAAGGCGAAAGGGACAGCTACTTGGACACAATAAAGACAACACTCCTCAACTGGTCTACCAGGGGTGACCAGAAATCACGTGATTTGCTAGCCTCACACTTACCGACTGTACTGAGACTCTCACTATCATGTCCCTTTGAGGACGTTAGAGCATCATTAAAAGCATTATTGCAGACAATAGATGTAAGTCATTGTGGATAATTTTTAATTTTTTTCTCATTAAAAATTCTGCCAACTATTCTAATTATTGTATAAACTTACGTTTTTTGATGTCTAGTGCTTATAAAACATTAACTGAAGCTATGCATGTAACCTTTAACTAAACTTATAGCAATGCATTTTCTGCTATAACTAATTACTAGATGAATGATGATTAACTTATAATATTAAAATTAATTATTATTTAATGTAGAATGAAGCAGTTTTAGTTCCCAGACCAGTTTTTGAGGGACCGTCTTCATTCATGTCAGTCAAAGATGTAAGTATATTTTCTCCTTGTTATTATTATTATTATTTGTTCCTTTTAGGTAGCAGGATACCATGAATCCAGTAAACCAGTCACTGTAAGTCTTAATGTAGTGCATTACCTAATGGCTACTGAATGTATTGGTACTTGGTGGCTTGTTTATCTTATTCTGTGTACATGTTCTATCTGTTTCTCACTTTGTCCTATTCTTTTGTTTCATATGCTGCTGTTCCTTCAGCTTTTAATGCCCTTCTCTCTCTCTTCCCGCCTCTCTCCCTCTCTTCCCCTCTCTCTCTTTCTCCCTCTCCTAACTTAGCATGAATTACAGCAGTTGTATGAGAATGCTTTCCTTCGTGATGCCCGTCTCTCCAACATAGTCCAATGTCTCTCTGATCACCCTCAATATCTTGACCTCTTCATTCAAACGATGGACTTCATAATGAACGGTGATGGACCACTTAATCAGGATGTCAGATGCTACATTGCCATATTGGTAAGGTCTTTCTAAGTATGAATTATAGTGTCTGTAGTATTACTTGATGCAATGCATTTACTGATAAAACCAACATGTACTCTAATCTATAGGAATGTTTGCTATTGACTATACATGTAATATCACTGTACAATTGTACATGCACATCTGTTGTATTGTTGCTTCTATTTAGTGTTTTTATTCCCAGTAGTGTATACATTGATGGTCTGATGTTGTTCTTGATCAGATTAGTGCGCGTCTCTTCAGAATTCTAGACGCATCTTTAATGATATAACTTTTCATTTCCTCACACACTCATTCTATTCTGTTTTGTGGTCTCATCTAATCTTTATATATATCTCTCTCATTTGTTGTGTGATAGTAACTTTGATACATGTACTTATGATAAAATTGCTCGTTATTTTATAATTTTTCTCTAATTTTAGGCCAGCAGTCGTCACAGGTGCTCTTATTTGGTGAGTCAATTGTTTTTTTCAATCACTCCATTGTCATTATTGAAATTATACAATAATCAACATTATTGTTATTCTTGCTGTATTATGAGCAGCAGTGATTAGGTCAAAACATTGATTATCATCAATTGCAACTTTCATTAAGTACACGTATGTGCATTATCATCAATAAGTGTTGGCCGGACATATAATATAATGTCTATAAAATACAATGTCCATGTTTAGAAGTTTTGCATTTTTATAACTCAATAATGGTATTGGAACAGTATTTTAAGTAAACAATAAGCAATGGTGCTCGTCAGGAATGTAATCCCAAAAGTTGCTTGATGATTGGACCAAGGATCCTGGCCAGATTTTGTCAAAATTGACTGAGAGAGAATTCTTCATTTTTATAATTTTTATTGATACATATACATGTACTTATGTTGTGTAGAAAGTTTGAGCTGATTTCAATCAAAATTAAATTTATTATGAATTTTTAAAGTTACTCAAAAATGGGACCAAAGTACAGGCGTTGGCCAAATTTTGTCAAAAATGGCTAAGTGAGATTTCTCCATTTTTATAATTTTATCTAATACATATACATGTACTTATGTTGTGTAGCAAGTTTGAGCCGATTCCAATCAAAATTGGATTTTTTATGAATTTTTAGAAGTTACTCAAAAATGAGGCCAAAGTCCCTGTACTATAGTACAGGGTCATTGGCCAAATTTTGTCAAAAATGGCTAAGTGAGATTTCTCCATTTTTATAATTTTATCTGATACATATACATGTACTTATGTTGTGTAGCAAGTTTGAGCTGATTCCGATCAAAATTAAATTTATTATGAATTTTTAAAGTTACTCAAAAATGGGGCCAAAGTCCCTGTACTATAGTACAGGGTCACTGGCCAAATTTTGACAAAAATGAAAAGGAGAAAAATTTTTGTTTTTATAACTTTTTCTGATACATATACATGCCCTTATATTGTTTCCAAATTTTGAGTTGATTCCAACAAAAATTGGATTTTTTACGATTTTTAAAAGTTGCCTATAGTTAGACTGTGCATGATACATTACATGCATCTTTTAGGTCACTTATCTTGAGATGGAGTTTCGTGCTAAAGGCGGTAATGTCTTGTGGCTGAAAGGGATAAGTCACATCCCTACTAAAATATCCAATCTCCTCATTTTAAACAAGATGCTCTGTCATCAACCCTGGTACATATCTCAGACACACTTTCAAGTAATTATAACTTTAAGATAGTAACTTTTGCCTATTATATTAAATTGCTTGCATGAGCAGCTATGTGTACAAGTATGTTCATTCTATTTATCTCCCAGGAGCTATTGGTAGGGCCTGATAGCTGGTCTGTTGCTGAGTTAGTACATGCTGTGGTCATAATGGCATTCTTCCATGCACTGGCCGGATTCTGCTTAGGGTGCGGCCTCAATCCCGAAATCGATACAGAATTAGGTCACACTGTCTCTGATCAGTCGGAAATCGTTCCTAGTCACTTTACCAATCCAGCGTTGGGGGTTGGAGGGACCGGATCGGATTCAGAGCCATCGTCAGAGGCAATGTCTCCGGCCTGCTCACCTCCTAACGAACAAGTCTCAAAATATTTAGTGGAGCACTATATTGAAAGTAAGCTATAGGAAGAGAGAGAGAAACAATGGTGTTTGTTTGTTTATATGCAGCGTCTAAACTGACTGATACAAGGAAATTAGATGATACGATAAAAGAGAAACTAGCAGCTGTGAGCCAGGAGGAAGATGAAACTGAGGAGATTGATAATGATAGACAGTTTGCTGAATCTGTCTCTTCCTTTGGACGTGAGACTAAATATTTCTGATTATATGAATATTATAATTAATATAAAAATGATCTCGTTTTTATTTCTAGTTGAGAAGATACACTCAAGATCGGTACCAACACCAGTTAACCTGTTAAGATATATCACTGACCCTAGCTATGAACATGAAGACTTCACTTTAGCATCAGCTTGCACACTAAGAGCAAGAGTAAGCTATACTACTGTGTGTACAGTGGCAGTATGAGTATATGAGTATTACTATATACTATTGCATTGTAGGAATACTCATGGGAGGATCATGGTTTCTCATTTCTTAACAGCCTCTATCCTTTATTGAGTGAATTGCTTGATGAAAAGTTTAAAGTGGCATCAGAAATGACATACAGACAGTAAATATATCCCTCACTCCATTGACAAATAAGCAAGCACACATGCATATGTATTGGGCCTGGTGTTGTGATAATTTATGTTATAATTTTACTTCCTTTCTTCTCTTTCAAGCGTTGGTGCAACAAAAGACATAGACACCAAGCCTTTCCGAGAGGCAACCTGGTACTACATTCAGTCAATAAAAGGGATCAGACATGATGACTACAACTATGGCAAAGTTCGTTCCACTCTAGTGTCTCTCTATTGCTGTCTCAGCACAAGCATTATAATTATTATTACATCTACTATCTTAGGTCAACAAAGTACTTTCAATCGAATATAAGACGTACATTAGAATGGTTAGCCTTTTTGCGTATGCCCATTATTGTACATGTATGTGATATTATTAATGTTAGGTTGCTTGTTTTCCAGAGAAAGTGAGCTTGTATGATTTCCGCGAATGTATGGATGGACTGCAGTTTAGCGAAAAGGTATAATATTGGACTGTTTCATTTCCATACTTGTACTGAGTATGACCATTACTGTGTATTTTAGTATGGCACTGTATTACCATTACTGTGTATTCTAGTATGCATTAAATTGATTGTTGATTGAATAGAAGAGTTGTTATTCTTTGTTCCCTAGGTACATGTCAATGTTTTAGTGATGGAGGCAAGATTACAAGCAGAACTTATATACTCATTAAAAGCACTAATGAGTCACATGAAATGAATAATTATAATTATAATAATTATTAGTCAATTATACCAGAATTTTAGAAATCAGACTATTGGGAATTTGTAATTCTTTATGACAAGACACTTGTCTTCTCTCCCACTCGCTCCCACTATTGAATTATCTCCTTAACCTACTCTATCATGTCATGAGGTGGTTTTCATGTGGTTTGTCTATGATAGCAATGAAAGTTCAGCTATGGTTAGATGGTTCAACCCACCCTTAGTCCTTAATTCAATAATAGTTATTAAGAATTTTAAGATGCCAGAACCTGTTCAGAGACAGAATATTGCTGAGAATGATGATGAAGTCCTTAATGACCTGCCAATAGATGGGGAGGATGAACCAAATCCAATTATTGGATCACACTATGTCTTGGTGGCTGTGGTATTTTTGGTGATAGCTCTTACAATTGCCCTTGCTATTGGTCGTCCTATGTACACAAGAGACAGCCCTACAGAGCTTGATAGGTTAAGTAGTAAAATTGAGGAGTTGGAGAATAAAATTGATCTTATTTTAAAGAAAGAGGATATATCTCCACTATCTTGTAAAGACGTGAAGACAGCACATCCCAATAGACCAACAGGCTACTATGACACAAATGGTCACGCTATGTACTGTAATATGGACCAGCTCTGTGGTTCAGGAGGAGGATGGACAAGAGTAGCATATCTGGATATGTCTGATGCTACACAGAACTGTCCCCCTGGGTTTATGTTGGATACTACTGGAGGTACCAGAGCTTGCGGAAAGCCTCCATCTACAAGTGGCAGTTGTGTGTCTGTTAAATTTCAATCTAATAATATTCAGTATTCAAAAGTTTGTGGCAAGTTAGAGGGACACAAAAAGGGCACTCCTGATGCTTTTTTTAGATTTGACGATGAATATAGCAATGATATCGATACTTATTACATTGATGGTGTCAGTATTACACGTGGATCCCCTCGTCAACATGTCTGGTCATTTGCTGCATCATCGGCAACAACTTTGCATGGTGGAGGCATCTTTAATTGTCGCTGCGTTCAAGGGAGCACACAACAGCATCCAAAATTTGTTGGAGACAACTATTACTGTGAAAGTGGAGATGATGATCCACTCTGGGATGGTCAAGGCTGCTCCAAACTGGAAGTAGACTGTTGTTCATCACCATACTTACCATGGTTCTACAGGCAGTACAATGCTAGCACTACTAATTATATTGAGCTGAGACTATGCACTGACCAGTCTACTGGCGATGAAGAAGTTTTTGTTAGGCGTTATGAGATTTATGTGATGTAGCTAGTGGAAATAAACTTTTTTAGCCAATGTATGTTTTAAATTGGCTGTGGTGTACATAGCTAATCAAATAATATTTCAGTTTTGGAATTTATTAATTTTAAGAAAAAAATAATATGACAAGATCATGAACTAATTACATGCAAGCCAACTAACTATTGAAATGTAGCAAATTAAATTAAAAGAATATCATTAACCTCAGTCCAATTTTTACTTAGTGCACACAACACAAGTAACAGGTTTGTTATTCTGATACGGTGGACAAGGTAGACCGTGACAGGTTGAAGCAAAAAAATAGAAGAGAGCACCATCAATATTCGAGGCCACTGCCAGGAACAGACTCTGGATTACCATCAACGTATGCACACTGAGCACTCCTTGCATGATCAAGATATTCAGCCATCAAGTATCCATTGTATTCAAAGCTCCATCCTGAAGGACAATACATCTTACCAGGGATCATCAGCTGTGCTCCTCTGAATGGTTGGTAGCAGACTGCACATGGAACGTCATGATCATGATTATGAAATGGAAATAATTATCTTATTGTACGATTGATACTTGGCACCATACATGTAAGAACAAGCCGTAACTATTGTAATCTGGGATATGAGGTAAGCACACATAGTTTGCTCCACCGCCAGGATGACTGTAGTGTGTGCCGACTGTAGTGTGTGCCTCCTGCTAGTCCATCATAAATCTTTGAAGCTTTACCACAACTTGTCCTTCCCCAACGAGTGTACACTACTCCCCCACCACTCTGTGAATTAGCATTATTAGCAGCAACTTCAATGTCAGTATCTTTAAGATAAAAAATAAATTAGCCAAGGAAAATGATTTGATCATAATACTTTCAGATGTAATTTCAGGTACATTTATTGCCAGCACAAGAGCACAAATCAGTTGCAGAAACTTCACGACTATAGTCACCAGCTATAGGTTCCCTTATCTTCTGTTACTGAGAGTGTAGGGAGCTAGGCGATGGTTTTATAATCTGTACTGAACATGTAGCAGCCAGCACACCACTGGACTCTCAGAGTTCTGTGACTGACATTATCATAATGCATGACAATGCCAAATTCACATCATGTGCATTCAGAGAACTATGAGCAGCCAATGTAAGGTTTCCATGGACAATAGAGATCAGGTGGTGGCATATTTATGGTGGCTCATAGTATCAAAGTATCGATGGTGGCTAGTACAGCAGCACATGACTACATGCTCAACCCTCAAAATTTATAATGTCCATTCGATTCAATTCTAAAAACTAAATGTGCAGCAAGACTTACGCATGCATGCAAGGTTTCACTTATAGTGTTGCAAAAATAGTGTAACAATGATAATAATAATCATAAGAATGATGATAACAATAATAATAATACAATAATAATAATAATAATAATTATTATTATTATTATTATATAAAAAAGATAACAGTAACCGTAACAACAACAAAAACAAAATTAATAATTAACAACAACAATAACAAAAACAAAAAGACTCGGAGGAGAGAGAGGAATGACAGGAAAGAAAGAAATAAAATAAAATAAAGGAAAGGGAGAGAAAAGAAAAGAAACAGGAAGAGAGGGAGTGGAATTATGTTAGGGGGCTAGAAGATAATAATAAAAATAATAATGATAATAATAACAATTCCTTTTAAAACATTACACATTATAATCTTCTATTTTTGTTACTCTCACTATCAAGCTGTCATCCTTCAGGTATTGTGTCTTGTGTTTCAGGTTAAACATTAAAGACTCATGACGCAGCATATCATGATATCCAAAACCTTGATGAGAATGTCCCGAACCAAAAAATCTAGTAAGGCCAGTTACTTTAGCACCAAACCTTTCTTCAGGATCAGTCTTATCAGTAAACTCAATTGTCTTCTCTACATGATTCCTGAGAGTATCAAGTCGATTAACAATTTGAACAATTATCTTTCCACGAAACGGAAATGTTAATTTATTGTCATAATCTCCCATAGATATGTGAGCAAAAATGGATACACTTCTTCCTTGGAAGTGACTCCTACCATTAGGATAAACCATCAGTACAAACTTATATCCTTTAGCACTGTAAAATCCTTCACTGATACGCTCAGAATTTGATTTCTTGTGATGAGAGAATTCAGCAATTTCAAACAGCATTTCTTCCTTAATTGGAGGTGGAGTTGTAACAGCACTGGTTTGAACTAGTGGAGAAAAATTTAAGTAATAATACAATTTTACACTAATCTACTGGAATAAAAATAATGTTTTGTGACATTATTAAAGCAAGAGCATCTTGTTTTTTTGGAATGCAATCAAAGCAGTAATTTTAAATCGGAGCTGGCCAGAGAGGCATTTGCTTCGATCAAATCATAGATGTCAAATCAATCTACCACTTGGTAAAAATTTTTGAAGGTTTCTATTACAATTTTATATTATAGTAATGCTCTATAACTATTATACATACTACTAATTCCCACGTCTAACCTAGTGATTCCACATTAACGGACTTGACACGAATAACTATGCTGTTGTCTTCTAAATATTCGGTAAATGGTTCTTGAACAGCTTCAGCAAAAGAAATTCCTTCTCCAACAATAGATGATGCAATTCCTGCTTCAGTTGGAACGCCATTCCAGACTCTAGAACAAAACTTGTCATCATCAAAAACAATTTTAGTTAAGTAACGAAATGTTCTTGTTTTTCGATGCAGTATTTCTGTCATCAGGGTACCACAAAACGGCCACTGAAGATCACTGTCGTAGTCTCCAGCCATTAAATGAGCATGTAAATTTGAAGACTTTTTCTTATCATCATATCGAACGCAAAGACACATTTTGTAGCCATTGGTATGTGTGTAAAATGCCCGACTATACCAATCTTCATCTAACTTGTTGTATCTATCAAATGACATCATTATGACATCAATGGGAGGAGTATAGATAGCATCGTCTGCAAAGTTTAGAGTAGGTATCCTATCATTGGCTATTAGTGATGTGTGTGTATATGTGCAGAAATGGAAATAAAATTTTGTTATTTTGTTGTATAATTTCAAAAATTAATATAGTCTTATGTTTGTTAGCCAAAATTCAATGCAAATCATTTTTTGCATAATTTTATTTAAAGAGCTCACAAAAACCATTTATATATATAGCATAATGAAAACTAACTTTAAATATTTGATAGCTATGAAAATTAAAAATAATACAATTATATTCATAGTAAATACCTTGAGTTTGATACACCCTTTTCACTAATATAAAAATATCTGTTAAATAAAATAAAATTGATAATTCTAACTTTCATTCTCCATCAACTTTTCTCTGAGAGAAACCAATTCTACACCATCAACTAACATTACAGTAACAAAATAACCAAATTAATTTTTTCAAAATCTTACTTTTCAATTTTTCTTTTAATTCTGATATTTCTATGTCTTGCGTCACTTTTTCTTGCTTCATTTTTTCTTCAAATACCTAAAGGTATTTATTGCATTAATTTTTTAAATCTTACCTTTTAATTCCAATAGCTGCTTATTCCTTTTAGCAATTACTCTGTCCCTATCTTGAATTTCTTGCTTCACTTTTTCTGTCATACCTAAAGGTACTCATTAGAATAGTCTCACACAGTAAATAAATAAATAAATAATTATTATGTAATACCTTTTGGGTCTTCCACCTCTTCTGTAGCAATTTCTTTCTCTAGGATATGATTGCAAACAGTGAAGCTCAATCCAATCAGCTATATATACTGACACTAATACCTTCAAGTATTTGACTTTTTTCAGTTTGAGGGGTCTCTTCTTCTAAAGGATAATTTTCCTTCTCTATTGATTATATATAGCAAAAATTAATGAATGACTAAATTCATCAGTTATTGATTATTATTACTTTCTGATGAATCCTGAAATAAGGACACATGCTCATTTAACAATTCTATTTTTTTCTCAAGAGCCCTAATCTTCTATTGAATAATGGAATCGGCAGTATAATAAACTAATGAAGAGGCTTACTTCTTTGTCTTGTTCTTCCCTGTACATTAACTGCATGCTTGTTGCTATAAGCAACTGCTCCAACATTCCTCTACTAGTATACACTGCAGAGATGTACTCATCTAAAATTATGATAAGACTAATTAACTATTATTATAGTACATACCTGAGGCCTCTCCTTCTTCAGGGTAACACAAACTCTACATGTGAAAAGGTACAATAATTGTAACTCTTATAGTTTATTCAACAAACAAAGCTATGACAATTACCTCATCTTTGTAGTCATAAACAGTGCAGTATCCAATAGTTAGCTTCAATAATCCATTATCTTTCAATACTTTTAGATTCTTGAGTGCTGTTGATATGAGTCTTTCACTCAGCACAACAGGAAAAGAGCAAACAATGCTGAAAGAATTGCCTCTTCTTATGACAGACAACTTGACATATGTGGATAATTTTTTCGTAGCAGCTTCTTGAATAAATTTATCAACGTCTTTAACTGTGCAATCACGTAAATTTTTATCGACAACAAATTTAATTTCTTCTAGTTGTAAAACAGGAGGCAGAGAAAAATGCTCATCGAGGCACAAATCAAGTGTCATTTTCTCAACAAACTTTTGATTCTCTTCTTTATACCGATTTATAATCGGTACAGCAGCATCAATTTCAAAACGTTCCACTGTTGCCTCCAAAAGTTCAATATTTGTCAATGAGCACTGTTTACTTATCCAATTTAAAATATCTGCAACTGTTTCACATTTAGAAAGCTCTTTATCGTCATACTCAAAATAATATTGAAGATAATTTTTTAATCTATCAATGCTAACGGTGACAACATCACTGACTTTGTCAAAAGTAGCTGCAAAATGGGTTCGTCTTTTTTTGAAATCATTACTTATATCAGAGGAAACAGAAACAGGCTTAGTTTTACTTGGAGTAGTAGCAAAATCATCTCCAAATACATCACTTGCATCAGATGAAACAGAAACAGATTTAGCTTTGCTATCTTTGTAACCATTAGTATTAAAATAATGTATATAGTTATATAATAATAATAATAATAATAATAATAATAATAATAATAATAATGGCATACCTGTCTCTTCACTATTCACTGCATCATCATTATTGTGGAAAACTTTCACTAAAAAATACAAAAGCAAAATTAAACGAATAGAAAGCAGAAATGGCACTTACTGTAGTCTTGCATAACAACTTCTCCAATATTTCTTGTAGTACTATCTTTCTCCAAGATTGCAGCAAATTTTTGAAGATTTTCATGACTTAAACAGATCCTTATTTTCAAAGCACTATATATTTTAGAACTATTTGCAGATTCAGATGACTTTAGCTTCATTTCTCGTACTAGTAGCACATATATAATAGAGGACTTCTTAAAACAGGAATTTCTGATAAAATCCTTAGGTATGTGATGAGTAAAGATGAAGCAAGCTGCATGTTCTGATATGTAATATCATAATGAGTAGAGATAATAATAAGTAATAATGTAATTACTTTCTTTGTCAATTCCATCAGCTACTGCATTATTTAGGGGTCGCAAAGCTTCCAATAGAGTATACCAAGTTGGATCACCTATCTCTGACACGTTATCAGCTTTCATCAACCATTTAGCTAAGCCTTCACGAAGACAAGCCTGAGGATCTCCTCTGTTTTTTGCTTCATTTTCTTTTATAGTGTTATGTAACAAGCCCAGATAAAGACAAAAATCAAAATAATTGGAACTATCAAAATTGTGTTTTTTTAAAATTGTAAGCACATCCTTAAGCTCCTTTATGCCTATACAATATACATGACAGTTAACACAATGTAACATGGAAACTTACTTAAAATTTTTTTAGATTCATCAACCAAATCAAAGTCATCGCTATCAGGCAATGAATAAAACTCATCAGAAGTTTCAGAACCAGAAAAAGCTATGAAATAATTAAAAATTCACAACCCCACTTTAAAAAAATAACATGCCACTTCACTGTCACACCTCTTTAGCATATCAAAGAGATGTGGTCAACCAAAAATTATAGATCTAGAATCTACTTGAAGTAGAATTCAGAATAGAAGCATGCAATGGCTAAAATACTTATTATTTAAATTGGGAAATCATGTACACTTGTCGTTTACACTTACATCTAGATCTAGGTGACAGCCGACGAGGTGATCTTGATCCGGCATTCATTATGTATGTGGGGGGGAGTGACACAATCACATGTTAAATTCTATTTATAGACGGCTAGCTAGGGGAAGTTTTAGGGGTGTCCCCTGATCCTCGCTTAAAAACAATAGAGCTCTTCTGTGTGTACTGGCCGGGAAAAGAAGATAGCAGGAAAAAGAAGATAGCAGGGAAACAAGACTAGATCTACAATACATAGACCTAGATCATCATCATCATCATGCCGACATTAGTTTGCACCAAATGCGGCAGCCAAGCTAAAGTCCAACAAAGGGGACAGGCGCCATTCTACTGTCGAAGCTGCAGGACATTGGCAAGACAGCAAGAAGAAGTGCAGGATATGGCCTGCGAAGTACAAGTAGCAAGAAACAACGATAAGATACATGCCATTTGCATCGAAGAAAATGCAGCAGGAATTTCGGCGCTGCAGAGGGAAGTGGCAGCTTTGAAACAGGAGCAGGACTTATTGAAGGCCGAACGGGTCAGACAGGAAAGTGAAGAGAGGCAACAGAGGCTTAAACTGGAAAGTGAAGAAAGACAACTGAAGCTCAAACTGGAAAGTGAAGAAAGACAACTGAAGCTCAAACTGGAAAGTGAAGCAAGAGAAAATGAAAAAACTAGAGAGAGTGAAATGCAAAAAATTAAGCTTCAAAATGAATTTGATCTGGAGAAGCTCAAAATTGAAGAACAAAAGGCAGTTGAGATAGCACAATTAAATACTGAAGCCAAAACTCAAGAAGCACTAACGGCTCAGGCAGAAGCTGCTAAAGCTAAAGCAGAGGCATCTGTCAACATAAAGAAAGAAATGAATAAAGCACTTGAGAAAGTAAGCAAGACAAAGAATCCACAAGCAGCAATTGCTGTGATCAAGCATTTCCGTGATGCTCCAGAAGATGATCAGAGTACCACGAGCACACTCAGCTCTGACGATATCATGAGTAGTTATGCAACAGAAAATGCCCCTGACGATCCATTGGCATTTGGTGTGAATGAAAATTGGACTAAACTGCACAGGAGAGTAAACACTGCTCCATGCGACAACGCTCACAAGGCATACTAAGTTGTGAATGTCTGTTGTAAAACAGAATTTTTTAATACTGCTATTGTTTTTGTGGTAAATAAATGTTGTTTTTAAAAATTAATTTTGAATTCAACTAAAGTCAATCACAAAATAAAAATCAAAGGAATAAAATTAATGCTAATAATAGTAACAACAGGTACTGTCAGTGTTAAAAATATTTGTGTGTAATGAAAATATGTACCTAAAGAGACATTGTAAACTGCTAACAATAATTATTATTGTCTTTGAGCTGGTGTGAAGGCCTCATCTGGCACTCTCTCTGCTCCAACCTCCTGCAGATACACTTCCCAAGTAAACCGACCATGCCGACCTATAGAGAAACCAAAATAACAGAGTTCATAGTTGTAGTGAAAGCTTCTTGTAATACTACAGTAATTATTATTATTATTACTTATTAATATCTTACCATGAGGTGGTTGAAGGTGTATTCCTTTACTAGCACACCAGCCTATTGGGTGAATATCAACTGTATCCGGATCACACCAGTAGTCATACCGGTTTGACCAGCCATCAAAATGAATGAGTAATTTATTATTGTTAATATCAGTTATTGTAGCGACACAGATGAGGGCAGGATTGGCTCTGTCTTTAGCTTCCAGTCTCATACCAACTCGGAATAATCTTAACTGGTTCCTATTACCTGATGGGGCAACACCCAGCTGCAACTATATTGAACAGAAATGAAAAATAGATCAGAACACTGAAGTAATAATTTCACGGTATTTTTTAGATTATTATGCCAATTTCCAAGGCTGATAGCCCATGGTTAAAAAAATTGGTTCAAAAATTACCCTCAATTTTTATCACATTTTCTGATACATATTGATGTCTTTATGCTATGCAGAAAGTTTAAGCTGATTTCAACTTCAATTTTTATAGTTATGGCTATTTTCAATATGCCAATTTCTGAAAATACCCAAGGCTATAGCCCATGGTTTTTTCCGAAAAATGGCTCCGAAATCACTCCCCCATTTTTATTACATTTTCTGATACATATTGATGTCCTTATGCTGTGTAAAAAGTTTGAGCTGATTCCGACTTCAATTTTTCAAGTTGTGGCCATTTTAAAAAATATGCCATTTTCTGAAAAATACCCAAGGCTATAGCACATGGTTTTTTCCAAAAAATGGCTCCGAAATCACCCCCAATTTTTATTACATTTTCTGATACATATTGATGTCCTTATGCTATGTAGAAAGTTTGAGCCAATTCCGACTTCAATTTTTCAAGTTATGGCCATTTTAAAAATACACCATTTTCTGAAAAATACCCAAGGCTATATATAGCCCATAGTTTTTTCCGAAAAAATGGCTCCAAAATCACCCCCAATTTTTATTACATTTTTTGATACGTATTGACCTTATGCTATGTAGAAAGTTTGAACTGATTCCGACTTCAATTTTTCGAGTCATGGCTTTTTAAAAAATATGCCATTTTCTAAAAAACACCCAAGGCTATGGTTTTTTTCCAAAAAATGGCTCCAAAATCACCCCCAATTTTTATTACATTTTCTGATACATATTGATTTCCTTATGCTATGTAGAAAGTTTGAGCTGTTTCTGACAAATAATTTTCAAGTTATGACTTAAAATTATCATGCTCTAGTTATGAGATACAATATCCCAACTAACTTTAGCTTTACCTCAGTGAATATATGAGCTGGGGCAGGATTAATATCTGGATCATGTAAATAAGTATTCCACAAGAAATTCCCAATGTGACCTTTAAAAAAGACAACAAATAAACCACACTCGTATACCACCACAGTAAGCTACCTTTAGGAGGAGTGACCTTCTTGTTATGCTTGTTACACCACATTGCTGGGTGGATATCAGTTGAATCTGGCTTACACCAGTAGTCATAGCCGTCACTCCATCCATCAAAATGAATCAACAAGTCCCCATTTGGTTTTATTGATTTCACAGTGGCAACACAGATGAGCTCTGGGTTCATACGGTCCTTAGCCTCTAGTCTCATTCCAACACGAAACAGTAAACTACCAGTGCCTGCTTTTTGAACCCTGTAAGGGAGGTCACATGACAGTCATGTGACTGCATGTGATCTTGTATTTACATACCTCATTAAAGATTGGATCATCAGCTGGTTCTGCTTGTGTATCAGTAATGTATTTATTCCAATTAGTCCACGGCATGCCTTGAGACAAAAAGGAAGAAAGAGACATGGTTAAGAGAAAATTGATTGAAAGAGAAGAGGAAAGGTGAAAGAACACAAAAGATTCAAGTAATAAAATAAACATGGAGAGATAATACAATGTAGGTAGTCTAGGTACATGTAAATGACATACATGTACATGTATGGTGCTATATACATGTATGTACCTCTGGGTTTCTGTAGCTCCCAGTTATTTTTCTCACACCAGCCCACTGGATGCAACTCAATGGCATCAGTTGGACACCAGTAATCATAAGCATCAGTCCAGCCATCAAAATGTATCTTAACCTCATTCCCTAATAAACAAATATAATAACAATAACAATAACAACAACAACAACAACAACAACATATAAGTAATAATAATATTCGATACTTCTCTTCTTACCTCTCTTTTGTATGATGGTTGCCACACACACGTAATAGGGGAACCTCCTGTCCAATGCCTCAAGTTTCATGTTAACCTCAAGCTTACGAACTGGGGGCTTCACAGGAAAGGGCATAGCTTGAGCACCACCAGGAGGAGGAAGAGGATGAGGAACAGGATGACCTATAAATAATAATAATCACTATTATAAACATTGTTTAAAATGACTTTTATACAATACACGAGGGAGCCTCAACCTATTATAACAGTTTATTAATCAGTTTTAAACAGTGTGCATGCTATAATATCATTGTGGGTTTTATGCTAATGCTAGACACTTGTATTACCTCCATGATGAGGATATATATCAGTGTATGATGGAGGAGCAGCTGGAGGGTAAGTACCCATTGGAGGTTGAGGATACCCTGTACAAGGATACGGTCCACTAGTAGGAGGAGGGTAACTAGTAGGAGGGTAACTAGTAGGAGGATATGGACCACTGGTAGGAGGGTATGGACCACTGGTAGGAGGGTATGGGCCACTGGCCGGGGGGTAGGGTCCTGTAGTAGGAGGATACCCAGTGGGAGGAGGGTAGGTACCAGGAGAAGGTTGATAACCTGGTGCAGGTACAGAATAAGAAGGAGGATAGGGTGGATGAGGAGGTGAGGGGTGATATGGTGAGCCATATGGTTGACTGTAAGGAGATGTGTAGGGCTGACGAGGTAGGGAAGTATAAGCATGAGGTTGGTGAGGGTAAAAATGTGTAAGGGAAGGATGGGGAGGTGTCGTTACAGGTGCTACAGCTACAGGAGGAGCTGATGGTTTTGGTGGAGTGTTACCACCAACAGATAGTTGCTCCACTAAAAGAGAAAAAAATTAATGTACATACAGAATAGAGAGAAAAAGAAATGGGAAAAGAAGAGATGTACAGTGTACATGTGAGTTCAAAGGTGTTAAAATAGTTATCATACTTTGTCCAATGAGTTGTGATTCAGAGTCTGTTCCTTCAACTTCACTGCCTAAACCTAAATAAAAATAAATATAATTATATGCTGATAAATAAAATAGATATGTTAATACATAAAAATACAATTACCAGTAGATTAGAATTAATGCACATGTCACTTTTATTCTAACCTTGTTTCTTTAGTCCTTGTATAAGGTTAAGCAGTGAAGTAGCGTAATCATCAACATTGGGTCTAAAGAATAACCAGTTGATTCCACCGATCACATACTTGACGCCCATTGATTTCTCTGAGTCTTCAAACCTCACGTCCTCATAAATGACTGGAAAAAGGGCCTTTGAATCACCTTCAGCTGTATACAGCTCACTGTACAGGGAGAGAGAGAAAGTAGGGTATGTCACAAATACAAGATTATAGTGCTAGTTTAGAGCAATGACAAATCATAATTCTCAGCTCTGCCGAGAGTAGATATTAAACCACAGGCTATTGGGTCAACTAAATCATCACACAATAAAGTCAATCACTCATAATATTACAGTAACGAATTTGACTGTCCAATAGGGCATAATGTACTCTACTTTTGGTTATGCCAATTAACTTCAATAAAGAGATTACGTGTGTGTCTAAACAACCTTGTACAGTAGCGAGAGAGTATGTATTTCTTAGTTATGACGGCTATAAGAGCTTTACAGTGATGCAGGCCAGAACCAATAGCTGCATGCCAATCACTACCTGTAAAGAGAGGGTCAGTGTAACAGTGAGTCAGCATTAGAGCTTAAAACGCTCTTACCTGCTGTAATGTCTTCCATATCTAACCATACAGTAAATCCATTCTTTTCCAGGTCATGTTTTAACTGGATCACAAATGCCTGTACTTCTTCTTCCCTTCCATAGCTAACAAATATCTCCTTCTTTGCTGTAGCCATAATTCTGCGTGGGCCACGTTAACGCCTTTTGTTACAGGCGTGGTCCATAGCGCTATTGCGTCTTTTTCAAGTCTGAGCATAGATACTGCAAACTGTGCAAAGAGGTGTCAGCTAGACTGTATCTAAACTCCTTAAAGGGCGGCTCTTTGTTATAAATAAATGATGCAAGCTGAAGGGGACAAAAACCTTGACTACAAGCTCAGAAAATGTTCTCTTTATGTAACAATAGGAATATTGGCTGTGCTCATTGCTTTACTGGCTGGGATAATCAGAGGAGGTGGTGACATGCATGGCCTATCTGGTGAGCTTGTTAAGAATAGCACTCTCTTGCAAGCAAAGCTTAACAAGGTAAGTATGGCTCTCGAGAAACAAAGCAAGCAAGTTGAGCAACTAAAGATTGACACTAGTACGGCTCTCGAGAAACAAAGCGATCAAATTGGCAAATTAACTCTCCAATTGAAGAATGCAATTGATCGTATTTTCAATGTCACTGAAAACACTGAAGTAAAAGTTGATGATTTACTGGAATGCTGCTCCAGTGATAACAGCACCAATTTGCAGATCTTGAAGACAACGAAAGATTTAGCTAAAACACTCAAGAACATGACTGGTAACATTAAAAATATCAGTAATTCCACTAATAAAGTTGTTGATGACATATCAGCAATAGCTACTGAACTACAAAGGCGGTCATCATCTTTGGAGGTGAAATCTTGTGAAGACATTAAGAGATTGCTTCCCAGCAGCACAACCGGTTATTATGATCTCGGTTACCAAACCATATATTGTAACATGGATGAGCTCTGTGGTTCAGAAGGAGGATGGACAAGAGTAGCATATCTGGATATGTCTAATGCTACACATAACTGTCCCACTGGGTTTAGACTGTACACTATAGGAGGGAAGAGATACTGTGGAAGACCCGAGTCTGATGGTAGTAGCTGTACATCAGCTAAGTTCTTTACTAATGGTATCAGTTATTCACAGATTTGTGGTAGAGTAGAGGGATATGCAAAAGCTAGTCCTGATGCTTTTTTCCATTACTTAACTGATCGCAACAATATTGATGCTTCTTACGTTGATGGTGTCAGCATTACACATGGATCCCCTCGTCAGCATGTCTGGACTTTTATTGCAACAGCACAAACAGAAATAGTTGCTGGAGGTGTGTACAATTGTCCTTGTTCTCCTGGTAACACACAAAAAGTTCCTTCATTTGTTGGAAAAAATTATTATTGTGAAGGTGGAAGTGCTGATCCACTCTGGGATGGTAAGGACTGTTTACCCATAGAAACTGATTGCTGTTCATCACCATACTTACCATGGTTCTACAGGCAGTACAATACTAGCACTACTGATTATATTGAGCTGAGGGTGTGCTGTGACCAGTCTACTGCTGATGAAGATGTTCCTGTTAGTTTATATGAAATTTACGTAAAATAACAATAGAAGCTAAGCTGCTTTTAAAAATGGGATTTTATACTTCCGCTACCTTTCTTTTGCAAGCTGATTTTATATTTTTAATATTTTTTCCAGCTGTTCATTTTTTTATTTGCTGCTTTTATTTTTTATATTTTTTGCTTTTATTATTATTTTATATTTTGCTGCTTTTATGATTTTTTATATTTGGCTAGTGGTTGAATGACCTCACAAAAAAAACTTTTTTTATACCAATCTACTACGTGGGCGTCATTAACGCCTTTTGTTACGTGGGCGTGGGATATTTTGGTTATGGAAGCTAAAAAGGGCCAGATCTATGGCCAGACCGAGGGGTCTGACACACTCCGGAATCCCACACAGGAGTCTATCTTTGCTCAAGACGATGAACACCTTAATGATAGATCAAGATGTACTCCACCTCTGGGTAAAATTAGCATAGCAATAGGAGTATTAGCTGTACTCATTGTTTTATTGGTTGGCATAACCAGAGGAGGTGGTGACATACATGCCCTATCTGTTGAGCTTGTTAAGAATAACACTCTCTTACAAACAAAAGTTAATGAGATGAGTATGGCTCTCGAGAAACAAAGCAAGCAAATTGACCAACTCACTCTCCAATTGAAAAGTGCTATTGATCATATTTCAAGCATCACTGAAAACACTGCACTAAAAGTTAACGATATATTGAAATACAGTTCCAGTGGTAACAGCGCCACCATGCAGATTTTGAAGGCAACTAAAGATTCAGCTAATACACTAGTGAACATAACTGAGGGTTTATGTAACATTGGAAATATCAGTAAATCCACTAACAAAGTTGTTAATGACATATTAGGAGCAGCTCATGAACTGCAAAATCAAACTACACTATTATCATCTTTGCAACCAATATCTTGTAAAGACATTAAGAGGTTACATCCCAACAGCACAACTGGTTATTATGCCAATTACCAAACTATGTACTGTAATATGGACCAGCTCTGTGGTTCAGGAGGAGGATGGACAAGAGTAGCATATCTGGATATGTCTGATGCTACACAAAACTGTCCCACTGGGTTTAGCTCATATCAAATTGGTGGAAAAAGAGTCTGTGGAAGACCTGGTTCTAATGGCGGTAGTTGCACATCAGCCAAATTTTTTACTAATGGTATCAGTTATTCACAGATTTGTGGTAGAGTAGAAGGATATGCAAAAACTAGCCCTGATGCTCTTTTCAATGGTCATGCATCCAAAGGTATTAATACTTATTACGTTGATGGTGTGAGTGTTACACATGGATCCCCTCGTCAACACGTCTGGACTTTTGTTGCAACAATACAAACAAGTATTGTTGCTGGAGGTGCATACAATTGTCCATGTTCTCCTGGTAGCATACAACAAGTTCCTTCATTTATCGGAAACAATTATTATTGTGAAGGGGGAAGTGCTGATCCACTTTGGGATGGTAAGGACTGTTTACCCATAGAAACCGATTGCTGTTCATCACCATACTTACCATGGTTCTATAGGAACTTGAACACAGCCACTACTGATTATATTGAGTTGAGGGTGTGCTGTGACCAGAACACTAATGATGAAGATGTTCCTGTTGGTTTATATGAAATTTACATAAAATGACAATAGATATTAGTCCATTTTTTCTACTTTGTCATTACTAGTATTGTGTTTAAATAGCAAATTATTTGGGGTCCAGTTTCTTTTAAAAAAATAATCATAAATTAAAATGTGGAAGGAATTTCAATGGATCAGTATCTAATATCAAAGGGATCACTTTTAAATAAAAAAAAAATATTAATATCACTAGCAATAAAAAGTATTGTTAATAATTTATCTCCCAAGGTAAAAAAATAAAATAAATAATAATAATAATAACTAAATTATGGCCAGCATTGAATGTGAATGCATGTTAGTAAGGCAGTCTGAGTGAGTGTCAGGAGGGATGAGGGGGGAGAGTAGGTGGCTTTGTTTTTGGTTTGTGTGATTGTGATGATACCTGCTTCTTTAGTGACTGGTTCTCTGACTGTAGTATGCATGAGAAAGAAAAGATGTAAATGTTAAAACTCAGTTCAAGCTAAAATGATATTACTTGTAATTCAGTGTTCTCTCTTTGGAGTGTTTGGATTCTGTTTTTCTTCAAATCACTCCCAATTTTTATTACATTATCTGATGCACATTGATGTCCTTATGGTGTGTAGAAAGTTTGAGCTGATTCCAACTTCACTGAAATATGCCAATTTCTGAAAAATACCCAAGGCTATAATAACCCATAGTTTTTTCAAAAAATTGCTCCAAAATGACCCCAATTTTTATCACATTTTCTGATACATATTGTCTATTGATATTCTTATGCTATGTAGAAAGTTTGAGCTGTTTCTGACAAATAATTGTCAAGTTATGACTTAAAATTATCACCTAGTTATGAGATACAATTCCTCAGTGAATATATACCAGTATAGCATAGATAGTCGAGTATGACAATGAGCCTAGCTTGATCTATCAGCCTCAATCATGCTGGAATCCATACTGGTTCAGCCACAGCAGCATGCATGATTCAGCAATGATACCTGTCAGACTGTATCAATACTGTAATCAGGCTTGATTCATTGATTTTGGGCAGTGTCTTGTATCATTGTCATCAAGACTTGAGGCCGTTCAGCACTTTGGCCTAAAACTGGCTCTCAAATCCTGGACAGTCCCATATCAACAACTACTTCTACAGTCTAACATTCATTCACTATCACGTCGCCGGTTTAAATTTAAAATGATACTTCTATTTAAAGTCAAGGAAGGCCTCTATTTCACTCCATTTCACCCTCTTCTAGCTAAAGTTCCCTCAAATTACCACTTAAGATCTAACAACAAAGGCAACTTATCTCCAATCACCTGTAAAACTTCTACCTACCAAAATTCATTTTATCCCTCTGTAATCAACCAATGGAATCATTTACCCTCCACTCTGAAACTCACTCTCTCCCTCTCATACCTTAAGTATAAAATAGATAATGACCTATGACCACCTCTTTATTCTTTATTACTTATTAATTTATATTACAATTAGCTATGCTATTTATTATTTAAAAAAATCATACATGCTATAGGAGATTGCACTATCTTTGCAACAAGAGTAAAATTGGAAATCTGCCTTACCTTCCTTATATAAGGCAAAGGCAGTAACAGCTACTTAGTTGCTATCCTCAATAATAAATCACCCACTTAACAAAATAAACGAACTAAAACTCTTGTTGCAAGGATTATGCAATCTCCTGTAACTCTTGGCTGTGTACCTGGTTTTTGCTGCTTTTCTCCACCTTTGAGGCTTTCTATGCTTTGACGTGGGCGACAGTGCGTCGTTATTAACGCCTTTCTTACACGGGCGTGGTCCAATAAAAAATTCCGACTAGACTATGATGCATGATGGAAGTTAGAATGGGCCAGACACAACCTCGGGCACAACAGGCTCACCAGAGGCCTGTCTTTGCTCAAGATGATGAACACCCTAATGATAGACCTGGATCTACTCCATCTCTGGGTAAAATTAGCATAGCAATAGGAATATTGGCTGTACTCATTGCTTTATTGGTTGGCATAATCAGAGTAGGTGGTGACATACATGACCTATCTGCTGATCTTGTTAAGATTAACACTGTCTTTCAAACAAAAGTTAAGGAGATAAGTATGGCTCTCGAGAAACAAAGCAATGACATAAGTATGACTCTCAAGAAACAAAGCAAACAAGTTGAGCAGTTGAAAATTGACACTAGTGTGGCCCTCGTGAAAATTGACACTAGTGTGGCCCTCGTGAAGCAAATTGACCAACTAGCTCTCCAATTAAAGAATGCAATTGATCATATTTCAAGCATCACTGAAAACACTGCACGAAAAGTTAATGATTTGTTGGAATACAGTTCTAGTGGTAGCAGCACCAGCATGCAGCAGATCTTGGAGGCAACTAAAAATTCAAGTAATGCACTAGTGAACATAACTGAGGGTTTACGTAACATTGGAAATATCAGTAAATCGACAAATAAAGTTGTTGATGACATATTAGGAGTAGCTCATGAACTGCATAATCAAACTACACTATTATCATCTTTGCAACCAATATCTTGTGATGACATTAAGAGGTTACATCCCGACAGTCAAACAGGCTACTATTATATCAATTGTCAAACTGTTTACTGTAACATGGATGAGCTCTGTGATTCAGGAGGAGGATGGACAAGAGTAGCATATCTGGATATGTCTGACGCTACACAGAATTGTCCCACTGGGTTTAACTCTCATCAAATTGGTGAAAAAAAATTCTGTATAAGACCTGGTTCTCATGGTGGTAGTTGTACATCAGCCAAGTTCTTTACTAATGGTATCAGTTACTCACAGATTTGTGGTAGAGTAGAGGGATATGCAAAAAATACTCCTGATGCTTTTTACAATAGTGACCCTCAACACAATAATATTGATTCTTTTTATGTTGATGGTGTGAGTATTACACACGGATCCCCTCGTCAACATGTCTGGACTTTTGCTGCATTAGGTGCAACAGCCATTACTTTAGGTGGTAAATTCAATTGTCCATGTTCTCCAGGTAGTTTGCAGCAAGTTCCTTCATTTGTTGGAAAAGATTATTATTGTGAAGGTGGAAGTGCTGACCCACTCTGGGATGGTAAGGACTGTGTACCCATAGAAACCGATTGTTGTTCATCACCATACTTACCATGGTTCTACAGGAACTTGAACACAACCACTACTGATTATATTGAGCTGAGGGTGTGCTGTGACCAGAACACTAATGATGAAGATGTTCCTGTTAATTTATATGAAATTTACATAAAATGATATGGTGGAACATAGCTTTTTGTACTTTGTTACCTTTCTTTTGCTAGCTGATTTTTTACATTTTGATATTTTTGTTAGCTGTTCTTTTTTTATTTTTTTGCTTTCATATTTTGCTACTTTTATTATTTTTATATTTGCTGCTTTTATGATTTTAATATTTGGCTAATGGTTGAATGACCTCACAAAAAAGAAACTTATTTCTACTACGTGGGCGTGGTCTAATCTATGCTCGAATCTATCATAGATCAGAGGAGGTAGGACACAGTTGACCTTTGAGCAATAATTGCAAAGTTCAATGGACCTTATGCACCGAAATGATTCTAATTAACGCGCACCCAAAGTGGTGGTAAAATGGCGGATTTTTGGAGGGAAAGACAGGCTAAACAATCTTCTCTTTTATCCATCCATTCTAGCTGTGGGAGCCACTTTGAGCTGTCCTTTTGTTTCAGTATACTTTATTTATCTCTTTTGTAAGCTTTTTGGTTGCTGTTTTGGCTTTTATAGCATTTTATCATAGAAATATTCTCAACCATGGGCCATTCCCGTTTTTCTAAATTTTGCTTTCAGGAGCCAGGGCGCTTGCCCCTCCATTGCTAGGAAGATAGAAGTGCATTCAGCTGAGTCCTATGACTAGTGTCTATCATCAGAGTTAGTCTCAGTCCATCAGAACCAGGTACGGTGGAATAACTCACTCAGTTGTCATGTTGCAGCTGGAGTGTGGATGATTATGACTATCTTTTCACTTCTTAAAACTATAGGTTGGCTCTTTTATAGATAGTTGAGGCATGCAAGAACTCATTCTTTATCTTTAAATTCACTGATTGTACTGTATGAACATCTCATGTCATTAAAATCTGTCAGTCGCTATCCAGTACTTGCAGAAAGGAATCATCACATTCAGAACTCGTTCATGGCTCTTCACCATTTGTATCCTCTCCCAACAGTTTTATTTATTATTTTGAATTATAAAAAACATAATGGGTGTTGTTGCTAGAACTATTATTGTTGTTATCACTAGGTCACTACATTGCATTTGTATAGACGACTATTTATGCATTTACACATACTTTATGATAAACAGTATATACACAATAATTTGAAACCATCTCGACGATAACAAAGATAGTTATTGTTATTAACATCAATTTTTAACATGAATAAAAACATAAAAATCATGTAACGATGAAAGTGTTTTACTTCATACTGGACGTTACTATTAATAGCTAGTTACATGATGCTTAGCTATTCTAGCACACTTATGATCCTTGGAATGCTTCTTACATGTAAATAAAGACCAGTCCTATAGTTTTAAGAAGTGAAAAGATTGTCATAATCATCCACACTCCAGCTGCAACATGACAACTGAGTGAGTTATTCCACCGTACCTGGTTCTGATGGACTGAGACTAACTCTGATGATAGACACTAGTCATAGGACTCAGCTGAATGCACTTCTATCTTCCTAGCAATGGAGGGGCAAGCGCCCTGGCTCCTGAAAGCAAAATTTAGAAAAACGGGAATGGCCCATGGTTGAGAATATTCCTATGATAAAATGCTATAAAAGCCAAAACAGCAACCAAAGAGCTTACAAAAGAGATAAATAAAGTATACTGAAACAAAAGGACAGCTCAAAGTGGCTCCCACAGCTAGAATGGATGGATAAAAGAGAAGATTGTTTAGCCTGTCTTTCCCTCCAAAAATCCGCCATTTTACCACCACTTTGGTGGCGCGTTAATTAGAATCATTTCGGTGCATAAGGTCCATTGCATTCCATTGGTATCACGTGATGAAAAATGGCAGCTTTCTGATGATTGTATCACAAAACTAGCTACTACTGCAGAAACTAGAGAGATCTATGACGACCCTCGACAGTTGTTAAAATCACCATTGTATGGAGAATATTTCTTCTTTGATTATAGACATGAATATAAGAAGGAGAAAGAGACAGTGCATCTTAACTTTGATTCTCTTCTTTACTTCATCAGATAAATCAATCTTCGCTAGTTTAAGATGTTAAAAATTACTGCACCTATCATAGTTTCTAGCGAATTAATGAAAGTCCCATTGACTCTATCTTGATGCTCTAAATTATTGTTAGAAGTGGTACTAGTGGAAGAATTTGGCTATTTTGCATCACGTGATACCAATGGAATGCAATTGAACTTTGCAATTATTAATCAAAGGTCAACCGTGTCCTACCTCCTCTGCTACTGTACAGTCTCAAGCTCCTTCCAACAGATCTCTAGTGGTACACGTAACAATGAGTAATGGGACAAAGGAGGTAACACCTGTTTAAAGGGACTTAGTGTTCACATAATCACTTGAAATTAAGAAATT